TCGAGTAATCTTTGATATTTTGCAGCAGTATTTGCATAATCAATCTGATTTGTCTTCCTCAATCATTTACTTAGACATTGAAAAATCGATTCTTGTGCGCATCACATTTATCGAGGCCATTTAAATTTTGCATCAGCTCTTAATAAAATAAAGATAAAAATACAAGCTTACTTATATTGTTTTCGGAGGTAATGTATCCAAGTTATACAAGTGAATGGTGTTGAATTTTGAGCGAGAAAATTTATGTTTCTAAATAATACGCAGTGCTTATAATTTAATAGTAAAAGGAAGAAGCATTAAAACGATCTGTTCTTACTTGCTTCAAATCGTTCTAATCCAACTACATTCAGTAATACGTAAGAACGTTACGTATGAAAAGAGTCGTTTAGAACGAAGAATTACGAAGGGAATGAGGAGAGGAGTTGTCGGAGAAGCGGGGAAGAGAGAGTACAGCGCTCAAAGGAGGGGAAAAAGAGTTATGGAGGGGAAAGGTGGACCAACTGGGTTCACCACTAGCGATAGGTTCATTGACCGAGAAATGCACGCTCGAAGAGGCTCCAAGCGTCGCGAATAGCTTGTACTCTTGCTTTGCTATGAACACTATTCAATAATAGATCCGTGGATTACCTTTTCTCCTAACCCTTTCTATTTTTCTCTCTTATTCTGCCATTTTTACGTTTTTACTTATTTCGTTATATTTCACAACACTTGCATGCACTTTTACATGACATTCCAATAACCATTAAAACTTTATTCTTTATATTGTTCTTTAAATAAAGAATATAAACGTGTATCACGTCTTTATCTTTTCTTTTCACTTGACATGTACATTCAATTTATCTCTTATTCACGGGAAAAATTATAATTAATACATTTCAAAGTATTAAATTTAGTGGGTGTCGACGGAAATACACGATAATGCAAAATTCGATTGGTCAAGCTAAAGTTACATTTTTAATTTTAGATGTATAGCAGCTGAAATCGGAATAAACATTTCTTTATTTGACAAGGAACCAAATGCTATTTCGCATGTCATTGAAAAGTCGCTGAAAATCAAAGATAATTAAGCTAATAATAACTACGTTATAAACAGATTTTTCTCAGCTTAAATGTTTCAGTTTTATTCTCAAAATATATTTACAACAAATGGATTTTTTCAATATTTTTAATATTTCATAATATAATTCGACAATTGATCAGCCAAGTAAAACTTTCCAAATTTTACAATGATATTATAAGTTTCTTATATACATTGTCACAATGGATTTTTGAAACAGCAAACCGAGGATTTCAGGTTCATTCGATAAACAAAAGTATTAGCTAAGCAACTGAAATATATTAAAAATGAAACATAGTAACAGGCTTTCAATAACTTCGACTTGGAAATCCCATTCACTGTTTTTAATATATTTTTTGATAACTTTATGCTATTGTGAAAGATAATGTGAAACACAAATCAAAGTTAAAATTATAGAATCATTTTGATAAAATTCATAGTAGAAAGTGATTTTTCAAAGTTGTGATTATTAATAAGAAAAATTCAAGTTATAGCACGCTTATAAAATCAAGTGTCATTATAATTACAAATAAAAGAATAATTATGTAGAAATTTTTAAACGATCAATCTATCGTTTTATAGATTATAAAAAAATATTGACAAAGTGCAATTTCGTTTATTTCTCAATTCGTTTATCTCTCAAGAAATGCTTTTCTTTTCGTCATTTTATTTTTGCATTTTCTACGAATATGCTGATCACTTATTAGTCGGAATCCATGATCGTATTAGCCAATTGATTAGTACAATTAATGAATACAAAGCTATTAAATCGCAAATCACATATTTTATTAAACGAATTATTTAAAGGAAAAGTCGAAATTTTTTTGTACTCCCTTAATTTTTCTTAAAGAGTGAAGAAACGAGATGGAAACTGATTCAGTATTCAATACATAATAATGAATTAGTTAGTAGATAACCAATGAAAAAAATTACAAATTTTTGTGAATTTAGATAGTTTGTTAAGGCTTGCAAATATAGTAAAAATATCTCTTGTATTTAATATAAGAAACCGTTCACTAGTTTAATAACTATTATTTTTATTGCACCTTTTTTATAGACAACTTTTATTATAAATCGTACATTTTTCTACAAATTTTTGGAGAGCGGTGTATATTTCATTAAGAGACTATTTAATAATATTTCGATATAGTAGTTTAGTTTAATGTATTGGTATAAAAAGGCTGCGGTCAAATTCAGTCATGGTTATTATGAATGTTTATTTTTTTCGATTTTTCCATAAACAGATATATCTACACACAAGCATCGTTCAAAAAAATTTTTATATTTTCATCATTTTTTATCTTCACATAGCTCTAGTAATCTATTCGAAAATGGAGTCTACTATTTCTGTCAAATATTGTTAAACGCACACGAACACAAAATAACAAATAACTATTTATTATAAAAAGAAACAAGAACAGTAGCTTTATTTAAAAAAATCAAAACAGGTTATAGTATGGTAGATCAGTTACAAGCAGTCAACTCGAGTAACTAAGAAAATCGAAAAACCAGCCAAACTAAAAAAGTAACAAACTACTCAGCAACGCAGTTGTCCTTTTCTTCAAACAATTGAAATTAGTACATTTTTTAACGTGTGCGCAAAGGCTTTTTTAACGAAACAATAGGCTTACGATACTATCCCGAGGTAAGTGCTGTAACTAGTTTTGTCAAAAGGCCTTTTCGCATCAGTTAGGGATAGTATTTTTCCGCATGAGAGTCAGAAACAACCGCCAAAGATGCGATTTAGAGATTAGAGTGCAGAAAATATATAATATTATTCGCCTCTTGTTTCAAATTGTGGTCTCGACAATCTTAACATGCAAGAAGAGAAAAGAAAATTTTCAAGTGTGTTGGATTGACCATAAGTTCATTCGTGTAAGGACTCATCTCTTGAAAGTCATCTACGAGTAGGTTAATCCTTTGCTTATAGCCAAAGAAACCATCTCTGACGTTAGGGCCTCTTGAAATCTTCGTTAAATCGTCTAATTATCAAGCGAGTTAATCCTCAGCTCATCCGACCAAAGGACCCGTTTTTTTACAGCAGAAATCTATCTTCATCTTCAGGATCTTGTAGTTGTCGGTGAATATCTTATTCAGTAAGTTTTGGACAAGGGTATGGATGTTACTATACCGTAGTACCACAAATTTGTTCCTGCTCTATCATTTACCCTAAGGCTCACAAGAAAAACCATGGCTCAAAATAATCGTGAGCATATCAGAACATTTTCCTGTCGTGATAGGTTGATAGTCGCATTAATGTGGATGATTTTTTGTCTGTGTATCAGGATCTTTTGAATTCAGAAAATGATATAGTTGATTTTATTTAGAATCTTGAACGGTCCTTCCCCTCCCTAATTACTTTAAAATTTTGCCCTTGATGCGATAAAGTTATAAAATCACATCTTTTGACTACTTTGACAATATACATTATCAGCTGATTTGTTTTTTCTTGACTTTTTTGTGGTTTGAGAAAAAATATCAATGTTTTGACTTGTTAAATGATTAATCTTGTTTGGTGCGGAATATGGGTTTCTATATGTGTAGTTTCTGGTGTCGTGAAAGTCTTCCAGTTCCAATAAACGCCTCGGCTATACTCTTGTTGAATTTACTGAAGAGCTGTAAGCTGTATCTCCTATATCTTTAATAGTATTCATTCTCATTGTTGTTGTTGTAAAGACGCTTCACTACTTATCGCAACAGCACTAGCACCAATAGTGTAAGTTATAATCCAGTATTTTTTCTAAATCGGTACGTGAATCGGTGTGCACGGTGTTTTTCTAGATTTAGCAAATACTTCCATAACAATAATAATAATATCTTTAAAATAAAATCCCAAACGAGCCCTAAAAATGTTAAACTTTCACACTCATATAATAGCAAATCACACTGTTTATTATAAAAAGGAACAAGGACAGCAGCTGTATTTAGAAAACTCAAAACAGATTAAAGTATATCATATTGGTTACGAGCTGTGAACACATTTAACTAAAAAGAATCGAAAACCAACAAAACTGAAAAAGTAACAAACTACCTAGAAATGCAGTTATTATTTTCTTAACAATTGAACATCGTATAACAATATTATATGTTAGAAAAGAAGAGCAAAATAAAAGGTGAATGCATACAATTTTGTTAAAGAACTTAAGAAATATTTCTCTATATTTTTATGATTTATATTTCAAAACAGGAATTTATATATGTACGCATGAACGTGTATTTTGGTAAATGATCATGCATTAATAAATAGTTGTTACGTATTCCGGAATTAATCGCTACCCTTTTTTGAAAAAAACTAATTCTCAGAAAAGGCAATGTAGTTTTATTGATTGAGATTACTGTATACTACTAAATAATAATTTTAGTCAATCAAGAATGAATATTACACAATGTAGAGCTAAACTGTGAAATAACTAAGATGTCAATTTAACACACAATTACATAGAATCTAATAATTTTTAATGCTCATTTCTGTATACATATTGATAATTTCAAACACTTAATGACATTGAAACACTGTTGAATATTATCCTGAATACTCCCAATATATTCGTTTACTTTAAATTTAATATAACAAGTAAATGTACTGATTTCTATGTTAAAAAATACTCAACAGACATGGTTATGTCGTAATATTCTCAAGAAACATATTGAATTCTAATATATTTAGATATTTTTTTATAAAGATTCTGTACCGATGACTATTTTGTGTCAATCTATTAATTAAATTTGTTAATGCAAATTTTATAAATTTCAAAAATATTTTATCGTCCGCTACGACATAAAAGTTTTGAAATATTATACTGAAAGTAATTATTTTGGCGTACCGTTTCACTCTGATTTTACGAATTGATAAATCTATTTTGATCTACTCTTTTCTGGAGATCTTCAGAAAACTTATTCATATAGAAACCACAGTTGCTGGATAAGTCATATAACAACTTACCTGCATTGCAATTGGAACTTGCCACTTCTAAGAGATTGCCCGTTTCTTCGGTATTTTGTTCTTGTTTTACGCTACAAAGTGAAAGAAATTTGCTATTATGTTATGTCATATAAATTTACATTAATATTACACTATGAATCATATTCTATGTGTTAATCGATCCGACTCTTATTTGTTCGATGTATTTATTGACAGTGAAAATATCATAACGAGTGGTTATGTAATATTGAAAAAATTTAATACCGAGAGATGTTTATCGTTACAATGAAAAGCGAACATATTCTATATAAATAAAGATATGTTTGGCGCAAGATAACTGGTTTATTAGGATCAAATTCCATGTATTGTTAATTATCTATTACCCATCACATATTTAAATCATTTTCGACATACGGCTGATGTTATAATAATTAATATATTTCATGGGACTTGATTAACTTCATCAGAAAATAGAACGAATAAAGTTATTATTAATATTTGAAAAACACAGTTAAGAATGATTTACTATACATTTTTTACTTTGAAAACTATAACGAGTCATAAAAAATATTATGCTTCAGACGGAAGATCTTTACCTGACAAAAGTCGACTCGACAATGAGGCTTGATGCCGTAGGTGAAGAGCTGTTTTTGGAGACCGTGTTCATCGTTTCGACATCCATCCTGTTTCATGGCGGTTTATTTTTATAGCACTTCACAACCAAATATTAATCTGTTTCCATCAATTTTTTCATTAATTCGTGAATAGGAGACACAGTCGAGCACTAAAAACAATGAAGCAGCACTTGCAACCCACTGTGTAGCTTATTGGACGTCGCGTCAGAGGAGGGTTTGTCACAATAATAGCTGTGTAACGCAAGTATCAGTAATATTGAGGACGAGGAAGCACGAATTGCAGTAAGTAAAAATAACGGAAGGGTTGGATAATCGACTAACGAGAAAAAGGGGGGTGGTTCAGCTGAGCCCTGCTCAGCTGTTATAACTAAAGCGCTCGAGCGTGGACCTTGGGAGAAGACTGATCCGAGTGGTGCGATTGCAACGCCCTCGTTTCTACAGCAAGCACTACCCCTATTGCTTGTAGGCTAGGCTCCCGCTTTAGGGGTGCTAGATAGCCTGAGGCGAAGAAGGGCATTCTTGCGCCATCTGCTGTTCGCCAAGCTTTCAACGTCAATATCACGCTCTTTCCCTCTGCGAAAGCTCTTATACTTCCTTCCTCCCCACTCCTCCGCATATTTACCTTGTATGTACTATGTAACTACATCTATTATTTTATATATCATTGTGCAATTGTATCTCATTTTCCTACTTTCTTCAATTCGTTAAGTATCAAGTAACCATTTCAGATTATCCAGTAGTACATATTCAGTACCTTCTCCGAAAGGTTTTCTATATTAAATTAAAATTTCGACAACAATATGTCGATAGTAGGCATTTTAATTCAATGAATATCAAGTTTTCTTTATAATATTTTTTATTACTTTTTTTCAAACACTAGTCACGATTCTCATTTTATAAGAAACGAAATGACGTATAAAAGTTTCTGCTACTAAAAGAGGGAAGATTAGAGATGCTTCGGCATGAATCTGTAAATAGAAAATGTATACCAATTTATTAGATTAATCAAATATATTACAGCATTTCAATAAATAAGATCGTATAAGATCATATTCAATATTACAATTAATCCCTCATTCGTCTTTTGTATTAGTTTTAAAAATATCTTTTTTGAATCATTCGAATTTTTTTATAATTCAGAAAGATCTTTCATTTGAAAAACTCATTTTTCAATTTAATCTATTTTTTCTAATGGTGCAAAACTTTAATGATCATTTTACGAAAATATATTAGTAATTTGAGGGACATTTCATAACTTTTTCGTGTTTTTGAACTACAATTAGTTTAGCAACAGCAAGTTCTCAATTTAGTATTATATTTATGAAGCAACATATCACCTTGACAGCTTTAGAATCTTTTTTTATTTTTCCCCATGAAACAGCTTCGTCTGGTCTTGCTCCACTATCGCTACCGTCATATTCAGGTACAGCATTCACAAAGACTCCAAAGTCGGCACCATATCTCTTTAGTATTTTAAACAAATTAGTTATAGAGTGTTGGTAATATATTTATTTATTTATTTGATTATTTTCTTCAATGATAAATATACCTAAATATCAACAATGTTTAAACTCACCATAAAATTAGCGCTCAAAGCGTGATGTTTGACAATGCCTCCACCTATTACAATCATTCCGCTTGTTACTGCTTTAATTGCTAACGTGTTAATACGCTTCAAATCTACCGAAGAATTGCAATATTCGTATAAAAATCAAACTCAATAGTATTATATATGTCAAACATATGTAAAACAACTTTTGCTCTGATATTTACCAGATAATATATCTATTACAAGCCCAGGATTTTTGCAAGAGTGAAAGTACATCATTTTTCCAAGATTTCCATCAGCCGCAAGAGCTGGGCTGAAAACTGGTATTTTATTTTTAGCCGCCCAATAGTAAATTGAATTGACATTATTTATTTCTTCACCTAGCCTCGTAATAATTTTCGAAGTAGTCCATAAAACTCCCTGAGAAGTATATTTTTAAGAACCTACGTCTTTTCTTTCTATTATTTTCTTACAGAAAAACCTTACCTTTTTTTGCTCTTCCAGCATTTTATCTAGTATTGGTATGATCCAGTCTTTAAACTGAGAATAAGTAGTATTCGTAATAATCGAGCTCTCGGCTATGTTAATACTACTTCCCTTCTTATCAGTTTTACCATAAATATTTTGAGATGATATCGAAGTTAAACACTCAAGCAAATCTTCTTCGATTGTTCGTGTCGTCGTGATGATACAATCTATCTGCAAATAAATCGAAATAGGAAAAAAAATAGAAGATAGAAGTTCAGTATGAAGTATAATGATATTACAATTAGGGATAAGTATATTACCTACCATTCTATGTTCAGCTAAAAATCGTACAGTTTCTCGAACTCCTTTAGACAACATTTCTTCTGCCGTAAAGCCAAGAAATATTGTACAACTATGTCTTCTTTTTATGAATTCATCCATCTCTAAAGTATCTTCCTGGCCTCTCTCTAAAGGTACCCTACGAGCTACCAGCATTCTGAGAATTTCTTCTACAGCTAACCCAAAATTCGTTGCTTGAAACCCCGAGTATTTGTAACTTGAAAGAATAGATGAATAGTCAACGCTGCTGTTAAAATCGTAGCCTGAAAATTCCAATTATTATATTGCTGTTTATTTTTAATTTTTATTCTCGTTTCAAATTATCTTATACAATATCATGTAATCTAAAAATCAGACATAGTTAATTATTAAAACACGGTAGTATTGTATAATAACGTGTACATAACGATTTTATTTATATGACAATAAAGCCCGTATTCAGTAATTACATAATTTACTGCATATTATAAAAGAAAAATATTTTTAAGCAGCACACATTTATGAAATATAACAAAAATTACGAAACTAGAAGCATACTAACCTCTAACTGATGGTATTGTTAAGGGCAATGGAATACTTCGTTTTAATACATTATTTATGAAAAATAACTCTGATGTATTACGGCTAATATTTCGAGTTAATTCCATTTTAGCAACACTTGTTTTATTTCCTTCAATTTCGGCATTTTTTATAGATCTTTTGCTCTTTTTTTGATTACGTATTTTTGAACTTTCTTGATTTTTACCACCTATCTCCAATACACACTTACTTCCTGAATTTTTTTTTAGCTGACTGATATCACAATCTTCTGATTTTAGATTTACTGCAGATACATCTTTTTTCCCCTTAACATTATTTTTTTTTGGAGATGATTGCATTTTCATTTTATAATAAAAATTATTTAACATTCATTAGTATTTGGACATACTAGTATTTGAAGCAGAATTCTAGGTCAAACGTAATTACTTATTTTTGTAATCATATCTGGTATTTGTGTTCGTTATTACTAAAGAAATACGGAAAGTGGATGGGTTAGAAAAATAATTTGAATGAGAGATACCCATATTGGTAAAGGATTTATCCTAATGAAATAATGTTCTATTGATAACAATAATATTTCACAGTTGCAATTTTCTTTTATCTAATAATTTTATTTTTGGAACTAGTGCTCTGCTGGACAGCAAATTATAGCCGTAGTTATAGACAACATCAAGTTGGATGTTTTGGTTCACGTTTGAGCCATGGAAGAGTATATTTTGTTTACTTGTATGTAATTTACTGTACGGCTAAATCGTATATTACTTAAAACAGCATTTTACTTGTTATATAAAGATACATATAGAGTATTTTCAGTTGTGACACTTGTGACGTCTTAAGGTAATGTGTCTTATACATGGAGTTAAAATTTGAATTGTGATTGTAGTTTCCTTTTAATAATATAAATATTAAATGAGATATATTTTTCTTTCGGAATCTATTTTCATAAATATTTTATTTCATAACCTATTAAATTATAATTAATCCTGAATAAAAAAGCTTTGTAATGACTAATTATTTTCCATTAAATGTCAATTATCCCTTCGCGTGCAATAACAATTTATTTTTATTTCAATAATTATCTATATGATAATTTATTTTTACTATTATGAATTATGTCCGTTGGCTTTTATTTATAAAGGCCCTTAGTAAATAAAACGATTCAAAAATATTTTAGGTGGCTAAAATAGTTCAACACTGTTTTGTGTCAAATCGTGTTAATGATTTAAAAGAAAAACGATAGTATTTGTTTCTTACCGTCTTCTTATAGTAAAAAATATATTTTTCACAAAAAATACTAAAAACTTTGAATAATTAAATGTATTCTTTGAAAATAGGCAAGTTGAACAAAAAAGAAAATGCTGATATATACGAATATCATTATTTTATCTTGTAAATCTTTTTTTAAATTATTAAAAAACTGATTGTTCCATTTACTATATATCAGTGTATTATAAAGAACATATATAAAGAACAAAAGAACACATCCTATACGTTTATACACAAATCAGAGTTATGTTTTTCCGCAACTGTATTTCTAATTTATTACTACTAAAATACAACAATTACCAATGGATAATTATTAATTCTTCAAAAAATACTCAGCGAGGAAAAAATTAATTAATAGGGGAACCATACTATTTAAAATATAGATATAACACGGAAAATAATTTTTCATATACAGCATATCATTTATTATTAAAATAAAAATTATATATCTGACTGGAAACAATTAACATTTACAAATCTAGTTTGGTAATATTTTTGTGTATGAGATTAAATATGCTTTAATAGTTTATAAAATGAATTTATTTATGAAATAAGATTCAAAAGGAATTATATACTGCATCCAGTATTTTTATTGGTAAAATTAAACTATAATCGAAATTCAAATTTTATTTCCGTGGATAAGACACAGACACCTTACTTCATACTTCATGACGTTACAAACTTACAACTGAAAATACTCTTTATTCTATGATTTTTACTTATCACTAAACTTAATCTATATGCGTTTTATTTTGATATAAAGAAATTTTATAAAGTGGAGTATTTATTGTAATCAATTCATTGTTTAAGCTTACCACACACCGTAAAAGTGATTATTAAAAAATTTATATCAGAAAAATGATGAGAAATTACTTTTATAAAGATTTTGAATCTTTGTTTGCTCTACTAGTTTACACTCCATCAAGTATAATACATGATTCAACTTTTTATTACATACACGATACGCGTCGCATTCAATAACATGCAGGAACTTGAGAAAGGTAGCTATTGGCTGAGATATTCCAAGATGTGTGCATGTGCATGTGTGTGTGTTTGTGAAAATCACATTAGATTTGTTTCTAACCTCTTTTGCGTGTTCGAGCTTGTATCATTTGTTGCAATAGTGATGTTCCATGTTGTTAATTAGTGCATACATCTGTTCGGATGTGTTTTACAAATAGAAAAAAATTTGATAAGAACTATGACTGTAACAATTCAAACCATCGCGTAGATTATTGTTAAATTCATAGTAGTTTTCTTTTGTTACTGTTTTGTTTGGAGGACAATAAATAGCTGATACTGTTATTGGACCGTTGTTGTCGTATATGATTACACTAGTTTCTTGTAGGTAAATTTCGCTAGTGTGTGCTTCTTTAGTGTGTTTACTTGATTCCGTTTGATCATTTGTTTGTTTTGATTCTTCTGTCTTATTTTGTTTGTTTTGATTTTCTGCTACTTGATTGTTTGTAGTGTTTGGTCTGTCTCTGTTTGCATTGCTATTTAAATTAGGTTGAGCTTGTTTATTGTTTTAATTTATGTCTTTTCTTTTAATCTGGGAAAAAGATTTTGTTTGCTGTTTTCACAATGGACATCCTTTGTAATTTGCTGTATGATTTCCTCTACAGTTTGTATATGTTACTTCTCTTATTTTTTTTATTGGACACTCGCTAGTTGCGTAATATTTTGCACATTTCACACAAACTGCTCTTTTAAAACAGTAATTTTTAGTATTCTTGAATTCTTGGCCGTTTTGATATCGGGGAATGTCCCTTTTAACGTGAGGCGGTTCAAATTGGATTACAGTTTTAAGTGATCGATTAATTTGGTACATTTCTTGATTCTTGTAATTATGTTCAATTTCGACGGTGAATAATGATAATGGTAGTTTTGTAATACGGTGTCGGATGTTTCAAAGTTTTTACTGTCACTTTAACATATGTCCGTATTCTTCAATGGCATTTTTTAACTCTTCAGTGTCGACGTATGGATACATACTTCTTATAATAACCTTAAAAACTTTACGCTGATATGTGTAGAACTGCGTATTTTTTTCCTTAAGTGTGCTAATTATTGGCAGATACTTTTCTGACGCTAATATTTTCAAAGTTAAGTTCTCCTTGACTATGGAATTTAACAAGGATTCTAATAGTCGAATGTTTTCAACGTTGAAAACGAAGATAGGTGATTTGATTGGCACCGTGTTACCTTCTTTTGAATTTACTGTAGTTGCTTCGTTACCGTCAGAATCTTTTTTTTTTGTAGAATGTCGAATTTATTAGTGTTTTGACTCAGCCAATACTCGGGTAGACGTGCTTGTCGGTGTTTTTTTGTTTTGAGTGTATTTATCTGGGTTATTTAGCTGCGTTTTGCTACCAACTATTTTCCACTTATCAGTATTGTTTTGTGTAGGAGTAGATATAACGTTCCCTATCTAGGTGACCATTTTGGCCTTTACTAATCCTTATTCTAATTATGCGGTTTAATTTTAATTTTAACTATCACTTCATTTGATAGGCTAATACTTTAGCTTTTCGGGTAGAGCACAGCGTTGGCACATCTGTTTACATCGATGGTCAAACACTGAATGATTATATCTTGACAATGGAATATAAATGGATTAGTATCTCACCTCCTTTATCTATTCAAGATCATCAACGATGAAAAACCAAATATACTATGTATACAAGAAGCAAACAAGAAGCAAATATATCAGTAACATCTATTAAAGGATACGAAGAAATTTATAAAAATAGGCTTAACTGCGACGAGGCGTTGGGATTTACTTAGATCATCTTCTCAATACAAAAATATGCTTATTTCTATAAGATGTCCGTTAATCTATTTTTTTGTAATATCTAAATGAATAATTGTGCTTGGTACTTCAGATTTTCTCGAACCCAGAATTTTTAGCCGAAGAAACAGTAATTGAAGATTTTATCTCAAGCTCGGAATTGTCTAAACTTGTAATTTTATAAAATTAACTTTATTTTTTAATAAAATATACAATGAAACTTAAAAAGAAGCATGTTACTGTACTAGTATGTATACTTCATAACGTGCAATATAAATTAGTCCATGAACTTTTTTATATTTAATACGAAACGATTGAAATGATGAAAATTTGCGCGAGGAAACGAGTTACTACGTGTGTAATAGCTTTATAAAGTTTATCATACTCAGGGTATATTTCGTTATTTTTCAGGTAGTTAATGCGATGCTTGCTGAAAGAATATCCGTTACGTAAATTCATTATCAGTAGTATTGAAGCAACAGATACCGACATATCTGAAATTGCACATGCCTGAAGCTGAAGTTGGTTTGGATTTCAGAATTGGTTTCAAATTTCCATAAGCTTCTGTTGGCTTTGTTGGTACTTGCTTAGTGTTTTTTTTTTATCTCATCGTCATACAAAACTGCTGTTATATTTTTATATTCCATATCTTAATAATCCATATAACTAATATAAATCAATTTTTCTATATAACGATTGAAAAATTTTTATTTATATCTTCATATTATAGAATCACTTTTCAATACACCTATTGATAAACAAATCTTGCTTTTAAGTTTTTTCTTTATAAAAAATTCAAGTGACATTCAACTCTCTGCAATACATGTAGTTAAAATATTGCTAGACGAAGGCGAATTGTACATTTACAATTCTAAGGTACTTTAAAACTGTTCTTTTTTTCTTTTTTTTTCTTTTAGAGTAACCGTTTTTCGAGAAACAGATTATGTAAAATGTCACTAATTCCTCGATAACCAGAGAGCTAAAATTAATCAAGAGTCGAGTTACTAAAACCAGTCGAGGTACTAAAAATACTCATGCAATTATTATTTCTATGGAATAAGAGGAGTTCATAGTATTTTCTCAATATAATAAATTAAGTTTCATATATATATTGACATATTTGTTATAAATTATAATTGTGACTTAAAGAATAGGACTATGAGAAGATCTCTGCAGAGATGATACAACCAGTTTACATCTTCGACGGTAGGAAAATCTCCAAAAACTAAAATTTTCTCCACGAAAATCTCCGAAAACTAACATTTATTGTAGAATCAATTGGAATAAAACTGGCAAGAACTGGAATAGTATAGGGAAGTCTACTCCAAATATAGACAATAATATACTAAGCGATATATTATTTTCACAGCTAATTTAATTGTACTGGATAATAAGTTATTTAAATTATTATATTGTTCTTAGAAAACAAAAACTTAGCGTATCGATAATTAGATCAAATCCTACAAAAGTATGGAAAATTGTAGTCAGGTCGTATCCTAAAAACAACTTGCAACATTTACACTCGCTGCAAACGTTAACTTTTAGCTGTATAATAAATATATAGACGGTTTTTTTTACTGCTATTGACAACGAATAACTTCATTTCCGAATTTTTCAAACTTTCATATATTTTATAACGAATAGTACGATATAGTGAAATTTGTTAAAGCACTTTGAGATTGTACTTTATTAAAAAATACAAAATCACAATCACATAATGATGGCTTCTGAATTTCATGAGCCTTGATTTTTAATTATGCATACACATACACACACATGATTGAATACATTGATATACATATTTTTTAAAGTTATACTTTTAAATCTTGATGATGTAAAAAAGCGCGCGGAATAGGTTCTTAAAATATATACTTAGTTTTTTAAATAATTATTTTTATTTATTATATTTCATTAAACAGGGAGAATTTGCCTCGCCTTTCAATTCATAGTCATTTTATATTGTTATAGGATTTTCTTTTTCTATAGTGTTTCCACGGTATTGAGAATATTCGAAAAAGTGACGTCATTATTAGGTTTATTATATTGGGATACATTTTTCCATATATATATGAATGATAAAAAATATAAAAAAGCCACTTATGCGGTTATACCGAGTGTCGATAAAACTACATCCTACACAATAAATGCCAAGTGCCTACTGCCGGTGCCCACGTCGAATCGCCGACTGTAGACGATCATGCGCACTGCCTAGAATCTGGAAAATGGCTGCACACTGTTGCTGTTTTCACAGATTACGTCGAAATTTATTTACAAGAACACTCGTGCAGTTAAAATAACGACTGTTAACAAAGAAGTGCGTACAATATAATGCTTCCAACTTGAATGTATACAAATAGCGACTTATAATTGTTTGGTAAGGCTAGATTTACATGGTATGTACTGAGGTTACTACCTTTTTTAATTGTTAATATCCTTCAATTTTCGTAGATCAATACTGGATTTATGGAAACACTCTAATAGCGAAGAAAACAAACTGTTTTTCAAGTTATGTTCTATGTGTTACAGCACAGATTTCTTTTAACCTCATATGAACAGACATTCCTGAGCTTTGTAGTTTTCATTGTACATTTACTAGTGAACTTCCCAAAGCAAAAATTAGGCTCAAAAATGATTATGCTGAACAAGACAACTTATCAGAACCTGTGAAGTAAAAAAATAAACCCCTTAAAGGTTTTATAACAATTGATACATCGCAGAAATAAAAATGACAAAGTCCTTGACATTACTAGTAAATAGCTATGGCTGTTTAATATTTCTCTGTTTATTCTTCTCATCACAATTAACAGAAGGTACATATTTGATTTTTTTACGTAGAGTTATTTATACGTATGTATTAATAAATACAGCATATCAATTATTATTTATATTTTTTTAATATGTACTGACGAATTAAAATATTCGCCGTGTATCCTTACTAACCTTAAAAGAAAAATCATTTTTCCTCTAAAAATTATTTTACTTAGTATTGGGCATAGTTTATATTTTGTGATTATAAAATTTTCGTAACGATACGAGCTTTTCAGCCAGTGCTTGAGGCAAATGAATTGTTATGTAATACAATTAATTCATTAAAACGTACATATTTTTCCGATGCGTAACGTCGAAGTTTACATTTGCGGTATCATTTAATATTGTTTTCAAAGAACGAAAAATAAATTTTCGGCCAAAATCAAGATTGAAAACTAGTTTATTAGTTAAATTAGTATTATATTTTTATCATTTAACGTATAAATTATCATCGTTTGAATGTACAAAAAATGATAGCTAGAATTCTTAGTCCTTACTAATGTTATAAGTTCTAGCATGACAAATAAAATTTTAAAAATAATTTTTTTGTAGACAGTGACAATTCATAAAAATTGCTATTATGGCAGTTAAATATCTTAATAAATAAATTGAATGTAGAAATATTTATTAATAGAAATAATGAAAAATTTATATGTAACATTATTTCAGGTTTAAAATGTCATTGTGACATTTGTGATGATACTAATAATACATGCGAGACAGATGGATACTGCTTTGCTAGCACTAGTTTGGATAAGGAAAAGATCACTTACGCCTATAGGTATGTAAGATGATTAAATTTCTTTATTACGAACACTCGTTACTAATATAGAAACGAGTGGGATAATTTTATGCCAAAGAAATATTATTAATAGTAAATTATAGAAAAACGATCGGAGATGAGAAGTTATCCGCAGATTAGTCGCGAACGATAGTTTTGCTCACAAACATTTCTTTAACATTAAACTTCCCGTTACTATTTTTCAAGTTTTTTATCAAAGGTCAAAAACACGGAAAAATAACAAATTAATAGTTATGAAAATTAAATAAAGTAACGTTTGGAATGGGAAACTAAAATTTCAACTCTTATTTCTGAGAATATGTGATAGAATGAAAAATAAATTCGATAATTTTAATGTACTAAAAGAATAAAAACAATTCAATTTAAAAAACTTCGTTTACATTCAATGTTTAATTGATTTAACATCGAATGTATCTTTTCTATGACAATTTTACCTTAGCTATTGAGAAAAAAGTTTTTATTTAGCTATACAATTTTATTTATCTATAAAAGATTAGTACTTCAATCATACATATTATATAAATAATTGTACATTATTTTAAAAAATCTTTGAAAAATTTACGGAATAAAATCTGGTTGATTAAAGAACCTCATATTTTTAAAACCGATAAAAATAAACAGCATTACCGTGCTCTTCTCGAAGTATTTTGGTGTTGAACGTAAATACAGAATGTTTTTATTTAATCGCTTATTTTTCACTATTAAACTGAAAATATATATTGTTCAGATACATATAATTACTAATTATTACAATAACGCTTCTTTATTGCAAAATTTTTGTATACTACATAATACCCAACATTTACAGTTTCTCGATGAATTTTCACGAATAGTAATTAATAAACAGACAAAAGGAAATTCCTCTTTTACAGACTGATAGTAAACCCGTTCATATCAGCTAATCATTTCCATATTGTACAATATTTAAGTAAATAAATCAATTCTAGATATTACACGGAAACCATAATTTTTTTAAAGAAAACGTTTAAACATATAAATTAATTAATATATAAAGTTTTAAAGTTAAGATTAACATTTGTTCATCTATAAATCAATAACGCAATTTTGAAGAATAAAATGACATCAATTGACAACCTTTAAAACCTTTTTACACGTTTAACTATATTAAATAGATTAAATTTTAGCTTAATGAATAATTGTACAAAATAGAATTACACAATAAATATTTATTTATTTAATCATACTGTAATAAAATATAATATATCTGGACAATTTGATTTTTAATCGTTAATTGGATGTTCGTTCTTAATATGTACTAAGAATTTTTTTAACAATACGACCAATTTAAGGATAAGTAGAATAGTGTTCGCTACAATAAGTTGAAACAACTTGCCTTATGATTGGAAAAGGTGTCTTAATCGAAGTCAATGGTTACCTCCGGAAGCTCCACGCGTGTGTTCAAATAAGCAAATGGATTTGACAAGTAGAATTAACTATACCTGCTGTTACGATCGGGATTTTTGTAACAAAGGCATACATCCACAACTGGCTTCTAGCAATGAATTATATTCATTACACGATTCAGGTACACACGAAGGTTGTGTTAATTTAACATACGTGTGTGCGAAATTGATTGAGAGTGATAAATTAACAATTTTCTTTTTTCTTATTACTTGATTTCTTTCTTTTTGATTATTTCTAATTTTCAAATAATCCCTTTTTTTTAAGCGTGGCTGTTGATTTAATGTACATTATAGAGATTTATAATATTATTTTGAAATAAAAATTTGATCTTGAAGATGAATTTTTATCATAAAATTTTTTTAATATATCAAATTGAAAAAAAAACAATAAAATCAATATGACTCAAAATCTTTTAGAAAAAATTTAACAATATATAGTCTAGTAGAAATCCGATTTCAGTTCTTTATTAGAGTTTTTATTTTTTTCTCTTCAAGCCTATTTTAGACAATTAAAAATAAAGTCTTTGTTTTCTCACTGAAGCTAGATTTCTGCCAGGCTATGGATGACCCGACTTCTGATAAATTCCTTATACGATAAATTTCATTTACTTTAAAGTTTGTCTATTGTTTTGTTTTGTTTAAGTTTTTCTTTTTGATTTTTTCACGGCTATAATTCTTTATAAAAGCCGGTAAATGAAGTTTCTGAACACCCTACTCCTAAAACCTCAATTTTATTCAAATACCGGTTAAACTTAAATAAGTTGAAACAGAGAAGAACTGAATTTGTGTAGCATTTCGTTTTTAAAATTTTTCTATAAGTTAATTTTGAAATGAGGGTTTGAATCAGGGGTTTGTTATTGTTACTTATTGAGTATGAATATTTAAAAATATTTTGAAAAAAATGTTCTATACTTTATTACTTATTATAGGATTTTGCATAATTATAAAAGTAAAAAAAACATCAAATGATTCACAGTTATAAACAAGTTCAATGAAATAAAAAAGTAAATGTTTAATTTACATTAAATATGTTAAAAATTTCAATTAGCAAAAATTTAATGAGTGCTTGGTTTAGTTTATTGAATTGACTAGAGATCAAAATGAATTGGATTTATTATTATTGTTGATATTCTATGCTTATTTGAATTTTATATTTTGGATATCCTTGATAATATCTTGGTGGAATATTAAAAATTGCATAAAATATCATTTCATACTTTGAATAATTCTTTTCTAAAATAAAGTGTGCAGTATGTTACGTTTATAGTTTCAACTTATATCAAAGCACACATAAAAGTTAGTTGATATGCTTGATATTAAATTAATTATACAATTTAAATTATTTAGAACAGCATTTCTAATAATAATAATTGATAATAGTGCAAAAAATACGGAATTGCAGCGTAAAATATTATACGGTTATAAGTCAAAGTAACGTTTTTATTTGGTATTGTGCTGCTTCTATCGGCTAAAAGGTGTGTGGGAAAAAAACCTGAGCCGATGATCTTCTGCATGACGAGTGACTCAATGAATACCACCTTCGTCATTGAGTGCTGCAAAGAGGATTATTGTAATCGCGGCCTGAAACCTCAGCTTCACCCTCGCAACAATGAAGGTACAGTCTGTTACTCCTGTTTTGCCGATAACACTATTGGCAAACAGTATCTTTTCTGTTTAGAGACTGTAACTCTGTTTCACGTAATTGGTACCGGGCACTGTTCTTCCTCTTTATTAATACTGTAGTTCCTGAATTATTATCTCACTTTCTGTATTTCTATCTTCACAATTTCAGCTTCTCCTGTAGATGATCTTGTTTAAACAATTAATTTTTTGCACAGTTTTCCCAGTTCTCACCTTGCCCTTTTCGCATTTCTCTACGTTTCTTATTTTTTTCAAGCATGCTGAACATATAAGTGAAATAATATCTTAGCTATAATCTATCTTATCTAAATTAGTAAGCAATTTAAATGCATTCCGCAAAAGTTCTTGAGTCATGATAAATGAAAGTGAAAAGCAACGAATGTTGAGTTCGAAGACAGAACATATCGTGGTATTTCTACATAATTGATTCTATGACTTTAAATAAATAGTAAGTATTAGAAGCATGATAGGGTGTCAATTACACAGATACACAAATAATACGAGTAGATCATTTTCTCTATTGCAAGCAAGCTATAGTATTCCCGAAGGATTTTGAAACGCTGAATTCAAATCTGGCTTCATAATTGTTCCATCACGCCAAGTTTTTAAGATATCCTAATTTAAAAGTGCAAAAACACCGTTTTTTGACATATTTGAGGTTATGTAGCATCGTAAATAAACTTATGCACAAAAAACTATAAAAAAAGTATTTGAAATTTACCTTTTGAAATTTTAAATGCCATTGAGTTTGCTTAAATATCTTTTCTTTTTCGCCGAGATATCGCATTTTGAAACATATTTATGAATTTCTCAGAATTCGAAAATCCATTAATCTTTTGAAGTACACATTTTTCTATTAGCTTTTTTGCATGAAGAATTTTACTCGAGAATTTTTAGGTTCGCTGAATGCGAATCTGGAACATAATTTTGTTTTGTAAAATTCCATGATGGCGAATTCAAAATGGCTGAATGAAAAATTTTCATTTTGAATTTGCCATTTTGGATTTCGAATAAACGAAATTCTGCTTGCAGATTCACATTTAGCTACCCTAAAAATCCTTGAGTTAAAATTCTTCATGCAAAAAAAGCTAATATAAAAATGTGATATCTTGGCGAAAAAAAAAAAATTTAGGTTAGGATATTTTAAAACCCTGACGTGATGAACAATTATGAGGCCACATTTAGATTCAGCGCACCAAAATCTTTCGGGAATAATATAGCTCGCTTGTGATACAAAATCTTGTATACCTGTGTTATGTATAATATATTTTTTTCAAGCATGCTTGAAAGAAAAAATGTTAACAACGTTGCACTTCTATGCTAAAAAGCCCAAATTTAATGGTTTTTATATCAGCACTCTACTTATCGATTGTTCAAGTTATTAAATAAAATCAACTTGATGTTTATAATCTTTATTTATATTTACGTTTTTTTTTGTCTGCAAAAATTTTATTAGTAAACTTACCATTGCCATGGTAATATATGGTCTCAATATAAGTAGGAGAAAAGCGTAGGGAATGTGCTATATGTTATCTCTTTCGTATAACCGATTTTCATGTCACAAAACATATGGAATTAATATAATAAAAACTGAGCATGTCCATAGTGGATATGTTCTAATGTAAAGCTATGAATTGTATTAATTATATGGTTGTTTTTGGTAGAGATTTGATTACTGTCTTATTCGACGGGCCTTATCACGATTTTTCTAAGATTAAAACTTTTATTTTAATGAAGATACTTCTGTGATTCCTGTCTACGTAAATATAAATGTACACGTAAAATCCATCATAATCGATGCAGTGAAATGTGTTGATAAAAACAAGCATCGTAGGAACAAACAAACCTATCTAAAATAATAATAATCTATTATTTATTTGTTGTATTATGAGCCAACAAGAGATGATTCTTTACTGGATTCAATGTATCATTGAAGAATATGTGACGTCAAGTCCATTTACTAGAATAATGTAAATCGAAAAATATAGTTTAAATTAGTAAAATGCTGTAATCTTGAGATTTTGAGTATTTAGTCTACAACATGTGTCAATGTTTAAACAAGTTCTCCAGGCTTACATTTTTTTCTGTGTTTTGTATACTATTTTTCTTATAGTACATACTTATAAAAATCACACGAAAAACCAATGACAGGTAATTACATCCTAGATAGAAAACGGTTATTCTCTTTCCGGTAAATGTGTAGATATATTTTGTTTTTTTTATACTGTAATATGCATTAATATAACATTTGCTATAATATACCAATTTGTTTAAATATTAAATCAAACACTACTAAGCATAGATATTCCATTTTTTTAGCTGCTATGGTTTTTACAATCAGTAGCTTTTTTGTTTTCAAAATCAGACGAATAGAATCGATTTGTATGAATAAATTACCATTTAAATCGTCAACGACTATAGAAAGACAAGAAATTAAAGAAGAGGGAAATTTTACGTTATAGAATTTGATAAGTTCCAGGGTAGCGGATTCGAATAAAAAACGAATAATTTCAAATCAATGCCTCATAGGATATACCAAAATAAATCAAGCTCGAAAGACATTTGGCATCAACGTATAATGTTCTCAGGTGTTACGATAAGAAAACCTTCTTTCCGGATCAGACTCGGATGTACTCGGTGTGGTGCAACTCAAGCGATGCTCTACGCGGTCCAGACAATAGCCGCTTTATTGTAACATGTTGTAACCATGCAGATTTCTGCAATCGTAACATCAAGAAGCAGCTACCTTCTACTGTATCAGCTGCCCAATCTTCTTTTAATTCAAACCATCATCTCGAAGGAGGTACTCGAGACGATTCACTCGTATGAATATCTTTTAAAAATTGCCAACAATACAAGATGCTGCATTCCCATATATGCGCATTATTACGCGGGGTACATCAACACATCTGCCTATGGCTGGGCTAATGGATGAGTGGATATGGGTAAATGTATGTGTGCATACATTATCATATATGTGCAGTTCCAATCGTTGCTCCTTATATTGACACATTTCTCATGTACCATTTTCACTGTTCTCAATAATTTATGACTGTCACGTTAGTAATTTGCATATACTTTAATATAAAATTGATTTATAAACTTACTTTCTCACAAAAGTTTTATGAGTAAGTCTAAAGATTTGTAGTTTATAGACCCTCCACCATCATACTGTTAATTTGCATTCTGACTGATAAACAAGACAAACAACGAGTTGGGTTGGATTCATTAGTAATTTGATATTATTCTTATTATGGACTTTTATCAATCTTTTCTGCAAAAATATGACAACTTTTTTCTTCTTTTTAGTCATTTTCTAAGCATTATTTCGAGTCATTTTTTTAAAAAACGTACCTCTACCACTTTTCGTTGCATCTTTTTAAAAATGTATAGTAAACCAGTTCAAACATAACTATTTAAAAAGTACTATCATATATGATAAAATTTGAAACCCTTGTGACAGCTAATTTAAATTGAACGTACACGAATAAAATTAGAAAATTCAAAATCAATACCATGAAATGCTTTTGTTTTTCGCAATCGTTAGTTTGCTTAATTCGCTCTTTTGGTAATAATTTTCACATAACTTTCATTCTTTTTTTGGAATCCAGCCATAAAATCATAGATCTTAATATAAGAACATCCATATTTATTTCCATTTGGGATCATTTTATTGATCATTATCACACAAGCGCAAAATAAAATGTGGATTTTATTTTATACGAAGAAATGATATGCAAAAAAAAATATGATTCGGTGTGATATAAGTTTTCCTTTAGCAGAAATTTAGTCAATAATATATAAAAATATATCCTCATAAATCTTATTTGATATTAATACTAAACTAGTTATTCAATATTATGAAATATTATATGTAACACTAACTTAAGTAATTAGCAGTATATTTTTGGATTCCTATCTTACTGGTTACGCATATTTACAAAAAAATGTTTTAACCAAGTTAGACGAGGACCCTTTTGGTTTAGATGAAAAAACGACTTCCGTAGATATGGAATGTAAGTTCTACATTCCTAAACAGTCTTGATATTGGGTTATTATAATAAATCTGCTGTCTGCTGAAAAAAAACCGTCTGTTTCATAACCCCATATCAATTGCTCCATTGGCATATCACTAGTTTGAAATGGATCTCTAATATTCCATATCTTAACCGAATCTGCAGTGTCTTGGCAATAGTTTCACAGGAAGAAAATATGAAAATTCATGTTTCATACCTCGGTCAGATTAGTAACATACAGGTAATTATTTTGTAAAAATTCAAAATGCTCCACGATCGGTCTTGAGCAAGAGGGTGTAAAACGTCTTATAATCGGCCTAATTTCATTTCTAACAGTAGTTTGTATATGTTAATAGAATCATCATTATTATACATACGATGTATTCTAATTGGTATTGTTTTCGGTTCCTTGAAAATATGAAAAATATAGTAAATCTAAACAAAATATGAAGTTCAAAATCAGAACTCAATCCAATAATTTTGTTTGAGATATTTATTTAATTTTTTTGAGATACTTAGAATCTTTTACATCATTTTATATTTTTTTATTGTGTGAAATTTCAAATGATAATTTTATTAGTATTTTGATTTTAAATAAAAAATTGTTATTTCGAAAAATATAAAAAATAACTAAAAGTAAATATGGTTTTTATTTGATCAAAGTACGTATTGCGATTTGTGACTGCAAATGATCGTATAAATATTTTTAAATTATACAATCGCAATAGAGGTTATTATTTATATCGTGGGATAAACTACAATTATTGAGGTGGCAAAAATACATATATCTAAGAGAGTTTAAATCTCAAGACACGAAAAAAATGCTTTACAAAGAATGTGTACAATTAAAAATTTATTATAAAATCAAAACATAAAAATTTAAACATGAAAATATATTTGCCAACGTATTCGGAGAGACAATTGCAGTAGGCAATAAATTTTACAAAAAAAACAGCACATTGCATCATATATTATTCATTGTTTATATTGTGCTTCCATACAATCTGAATAAATATTTATTGATGATTTTTAAATTGCTTGTAATTATTAATAAGCTGGCTTATCTTTAAAATCAACTGTACTTGTGGACTTTTGTTTATACTTTTATTTAGGTAATATCTATATAAAGAGAGTCGTGTGGGGAATAAAAGGGAAATTCGAGGACTAGATTAATGTTTATAAATATAAGGTACGTAAATGATGTATAAAAATTAATTTATCCACAGTACATAAGTTATGACACACGACTCTCGATGTATAGATACAGCCTGATACTATTGCATGATCATACTTTTGCGGCCAATACGAAGATGTATTTGGTTTCATTACACTTACTTTCTTTTTGCTAGTTTTTTATTAAAATTAGCATGTTGCTAAAACTTTTAACAAAGTTAACCATCTATATTTTATGTTTGTTGGCAAACTTTATAAAATGCTTTCTGCTTGTCTTGCTCTTCTCCATTTTTACATGAACATGATTTTAATTGCCTATTTGTGTGAAGTATGCTCGCATTTTTCCTTTTTCATTCTCTCAGAATAAGTAAAACATTACAATATAATACTATTAAATAAATCCTGTGAATTATGGAAGGACGCAACTATAGAAATAATGTGTTATTGTGATTCTTGTCGGTCATAAAAAAAATTACTATACTTTCTGAATGAAAATAAAAATAAAAATGCTATACTTTCATTTTTATGTAGTTTTAGTGGTTATATTTTTATCTTATTACTAGTAATTTGTTGCGTTCTAGAGACACTTTTTGACTGTTCAAAATTAAATTTTTGAGCAATTTAGAAAAATTGTACAGATAAAAAAATACTCAAACTATTCAACTAAATTATGGTAAATCCTCATTTCAATCAGTCAGGTGTCAATTTCCATATGTTATGAACTTACCAATGTATTCTCATTCATAATATGTAATATATTATTTTTAAGCTGAAAGCTTGACCGTATATTATAAACTAGTTGGATGGTAATGAGTGACGTGTTCAAGAAGTGAAAAAAGACAAGATAAACCTCACAATTTCGTGTCGATTAATTATCATTTTTTGGCACCATCTAATTTAAAAAAATCTGACTATAAAGATAATAACTGAAAGAAGACGGCACTTACATAGAAATGGTAGTTAAAAAGAATGTTTTAAGATTCCGTTGTTTATATCTTTGATTAGTGAGCGTGGTGCTTTTAACTAATAAATCAATAACTTTTACTATAATAACTTTAAGAAACTGAGTAGAGAAATGAAATAACGGAATATTTGGGTAGAAAATTTCTGATTTACTTGAACACCTTCATAACCGTTACTTCACTAAGAATACCATAGATCGTATAATTAGTAAAAATAAAATGGCTTGATAGCTTCTGGAAGTGGTCGAGCAACATGGGAAACTTGGAAAATGGCTCTCACAATAGCTCTTCCAATTTGCGTGATTTGCGTGACAGTGATGATCGTCTATAATATACATATGACAAGAAAAAGACCAGCAGGTCGTCATTTTCCCGACGATTCACTCGAGGCTCCTGACCGGCCTATTTTAGGAGGTGTCACCATACGGGATATGCTCGAAATGACTACCAGTGGAAGTGGCTCAGGTATATGTCATTCGCTGAGTTCATACACAATGTTTTAGCAGTATTACTTTTTACTGGCTTAGAATTAAAATAATTAGAGCATACATAAATTCATTTGCTTACCTTGAGGGCTTTTACAGTGGGGCTGCCTTTGCTAGTTCAACGCAGTATAGCCCGTCAAATACAGCTTGTTGAAACAATTGGCAAAGGTCGTTTTGGTGAAGTTTGGAGGGGCCGCTGGCGAGGAGAAAATGTTGCTGTTAAAATTTTCAGCTCCCGGGAGGAAAGATCCTGGTTCAGGGAGGCTGAGATCTATCAAACCGTTATGTTGCGACATGATAATATACTTGGCTTCATTGCTGCAGATAACAAAGGTTTGCTTTGACACAATGGTAGTCTTTTACTGAACATAAATCTATTACTTACTGGCATTTGCAGATAACGGCACGTGGACTCAGCTTTGGCTAATAACAGATTATCACGAAAAAGGCTCTCTTTTCGATTATTTGAATCGCTCGACAGTTGATACCAATGGCATGGTCAAAATGGCTTTGTCGATAGCGACTGGACTGGCCCATTTACATATGGAGATTGTCGGTACTCAGGGGAAACCTGCAATCGCACATCGTGACCTTAAGTCAAAAAATATACTTGTGAAAACCAACGGCACCTGCGCCATTGGTGACTTGGGTCTTGCTGTCAGACACGATGTCATTACTGATACCGTTGATATTCAGCTAAATAATCGTGTTGGCACGAAACGATACATGGCACCCGAAGTAACTTGATTTATACGTAAAAAATGTAAAAGACCGCCGTTATTTAACTAAATCATATTTTTCTTTTTCCACTTTAGGTGCTGGAAGAAACGATAAATATGAATCATTTTGATTCATTCAAAAGAGCAGACGTTTATGCTCTTGGCTTGATTTTTTGGGAAATTGCAAGGCGTTGTAATGTTGGTGGCATTCATGATGATTATCAACTGCCATTCTACGACCTCGTACCTTCGGATCCCACAATCGAAGAAATGCGCAAAGTCGTTTGTACAGACAGGCAACGGCCATCAATACCTAACAGATGGATGTCTATCGATGTAAGAATTCTCTCAATATTTCCTTTCCGAACAACTAACAATAATCTGCTTAAACGCTTTGATAATTATTCTATTGTATAGGCTCTTCATTTGATGTCGAAAGTTATGAAGGAATGTTGGTATCATAACGCGGCAGCCCGGCTAACGGCACTCAGGATTAAAAAATCTCTTGCTAATTATGGCGAAATGAAAGACTTGAAATAAGCAGCAATGGCCAATGTTGCTCGCACAATCTATTGCATTGATTTTAAAAACCCTTCAAGAGTGTACGTTCGTCTTTCAGATGAGAACGACAAAGCGACAAATACCTCGTTCTATTACCTTCATTTCTATTTTTTTTTAATTTTTTTACATCTATATACTTTATATTTTGATCGCTGGTTTAAGCTGTAAAACTCGACAAACATCGACCTTTACTCAAGAGCTCGAAAGTTGAAATAGTCAAGACTGATATATAACTCGAATAATAATGTTCCTTTATGTTCTTCGATGTGGCCCATGCTGTACAGCGCTACTTTTGCCTTAATTATACAAATTCATGCTATGATAAAAAGTAAAACTTGGCAAAATAACATACATTCGAAACTGTGTAAAAAATTTTAATCTCAAGTTTAAGTTATGTTGCTAAAATTTACTAGGCAGCATTGTTTAATCATTAAATAAATTTTAATTATAGTTATCATATATCTTGGGGTCAGCACGCCTAGCATCTTTGATGGTATATTTACAACCAGATGACATTATTATGTTTACATTAATACTAGCTAATTATGAGTATCGCTAATGGTACCTCATAAGAACCATACGGTATCAGATTATTTAGTTTTTTTTTTAATAGAACACTTCAAGTACATCACCAAATGAAGTAAGCTATGCAGATCTTGATACAAATACTTGTCAAACATTTATGTTCCGTAAACTTGAGAGTAAGATTAACGAAGAATATAACTTAAAAGCCACGAGGTTTCTAACTTTCAAATCAAGAAAATCTATTGAAATAATGAAATTTTAAATGACAAGGAGAATACATTAATACGAGCTCTTCTTTTATCCAGTAACGAAATATTTTTCGTTAATAAATGTCAATTTTTTCAATTGTTGACCGTGATTTTAGCAGTAGTAATTTTGAAATACCAAACGATCAAGTTTTCTATTCAAGTTTTTAATGATGTACATTTTACTTGGTAATTTGTAATTAGATTTTTTAAAACTAGATTGTATTAGTTATAAAACTAAATCCAAAGTCTGAAGGAGCTATTAAGCTAGATTTATGTTTATGCATATGCCTATATTTACATCTGCATATAAATAGCTGATAAAGTCGTTTACCTTTGTTATGAGTTTTCGCAGATGTAGTTTTATTTAAGACTACAAACTGTTGTAAAATTGAATTTTAGTGTCTAGTTTTTTACCATTAGTCCCTTATTTTCTCATCCATTTTTAATAAATTGGTCTTAATTATATAATACGACTTATTTTTTTACCTATTTTCCGAAAACATATTCATAAATATAATTTGTCAACTACATTGGTAGAGTTTTTTCTTGAAGAACGTAAAGAACTATAGTTTCTTTCGTTTTCAATATCGTATCGTTCATATTTACAATAAATAGCTTATAATCGTAAAATACACTGCAACTTAGTATATATCGAGAATTCGAGGTTCCAATTACTCTATTTGCTTAAAAGATACTTTTTTCCCCTTCAGAAAACCTGTGAGTTTTTTATGTTCAGATGTCAATCATATTTCATGACCTTTTTCGATAGAAATGTGTATTTTCTATATCGCAACTTCTTTATTAACTTTATTAACTTTGAGCAAGATTATAATCGGCCAAATTTAATGTTCTTAAATATTGTAAATTTGGAATTTACACTGTTGAATAGTATGATCAAATTCATTGAATTGTTTTAAATGAAAAAAAATGTAATTTCTGAAAGTTGGAAAAATTGCTTTTTGATAAATGGTTTTCATAAGTTTTCTCCTGACACGCAATCAAAGTTGACATCTGTTTTTAGCCAGCTCATTTGCCAAGAGTTAAAAAAATTGAATTTAATTAAGTGGATATCGCACAATCATACACTCAGATGGGTGGACATTAAAAAATAATTTTATATTCAAGTTTTACGTAATGCCTATCACATAAAAATAAATATATTAAAACAAAAATTATGTTTTTCAGGAAAACAAGGTTTTTAATTACGTCAGATTTGACGAAGAGCGCGCCTAGTATCGGTATTATCGGGCAACCATAGAGTAATAAAATGCATTTGCGCTGACTGAATTGCAACTTGATGTGATTGCTGTATGTTAAAACTACATAATGAAAGCTTTCTGGTCAAGAAAATCATTGAGGAACATATTCTGTTACTTGAACTTTCAGGAATAAATTCCAATAAGAATTGAAACAGTAGGATTAAATAAAAATTTTTGTACAATTTAAAATTTATTTATTAAATTAATCGTTACACGGATTATTGCTTATTGTATACAATAATCTTATTATTGATTGACTTAAACAAGTTCACTGTCTCGCTGACTGTAGTATAAATTGTTCCTGGTAATGTGCTTTTGTTCATGCACACGAATTTGGTCAAATTTCCGTAAAAGTCGCCATGTCACGTAAGTGATTTTGCCAAAGTTCGACGTGGACTGTCAGCAGCAAGTTCTGCATAACTCGCAAAAAATTTGTTCAAAATCACTTGCCTCGCGCGATGGCAATCGTGTGAAAACATGAGTAATTGTTTATTCTGGAACAGCCTCGATTTTCATTGGATAACAAAACGAGATAAAAAGAAAGAAAAATAGATGCAATAGTTGCATGAAAATAATGATCGGTATAACAATAATATGAACAATAAAATTCACTCAATGCAAATCTCACGAAGCACGGTTTCCGCCACGATTTACTTGTCAAAATAATGTCATTTCTGTGGGTGTTGTTTGGTGCTTCATAAGACAGTTTGTTTTAATGAAACTTTACATTTATTTCTTACTTACGAGCCGACTTAACGGTATTTTCATAGTTTTAAATATTGCTATAGAAAAAATAAATAAATGAAAAGGCTTGATCAATGATGTATTTGATTACGTCAAGTGGGCATGCAGTACGGGTCTGTAACGGTAACAACAACGTCAGTAGCAGTAGCGGCCGCAGTAGAAATAATGACATAAAGGACGATTGAAAGCAGCTTATTGCGCATTGTAAAAGCAGAGCGATGAAGATGCGTGCGGTTGCGGTCGTGATGGGGTATAAAAAAGCGAAACAACGCGAGTCTTGTGTGATGTCGAGAATGGAGCTGCTCTCGGATCGCGGATCGCGGATCGCGGGTCACGGGTCGCGGGTCGCTTGGGACAATGATAACGATTTTGGAAGCGCGCAAGGTCCGTTAGCGGGAGGCTAACGAGGGAAGAACGATCGGTCGAGCCGACAGATGAAAAGCGTGAAAAGAGAGTGCACACATGGACGGGCGCACAAGCTGTCATTGCCGTTGCTCTCGTCGTTGTGATTTTTTATGTGATTTTTTTTATCGAAGCTGACCGATGTGGCGAATGCTGCTTGGAATACAGGTAAATTACGTAGCCGGATGAGGTAAACACCGAGTAAGCGCGGTCATTGGTTCGGACTGCAGGCCGCTCCGAGGCTCCTCTCAGACATCTAGCCTAGGGCGGAGATACCTGCGACAGAAGAGTACGAATGTAGAGGCGGGGAGAGAGGCCGCGAGCGAAGGCCGGGCACTCACCGCGCGGCACCGATCGACACGTTGTTGTTGTCGTTAGAGTCGACGGAGCGCAGCTTAGAGCTCCTGCCTGGACTCTTGCACGAGGTAGACCTGGGAGCCGGGCACCGTGGAGGTGGTGACGAAGCTGCGGTGTTTGGCGCGGATCAGCGACAGGTTGGACTCGGCGCAGTCGGCCCGGTCCTCGGCGGCCTCGAGCTCGCGCTGGAAGCGGCGCACCCTCGTCACGCTCTGCTGCGACATGCCCTCCTGCTCCTGCAGCTGGCGCTTGTAGATGTTGACCTTCTGGCTGGCCTTGTCCAGCGACTCCTGCAGCAGCGCGATGTTCTTCGAGTCCTCCTCCACCTGGATCATCACCTCCTTGATGTTGCGCTCCTTCTTGCGCAGGATCTTCACCGTCTCGGCGTGCCGGCGCTTCTCCTCGTCGAGCTCCAGCTCGAGGTCGCGGATCTGCGGCGCAGAGCGACGGTCGCGTCATCAGCCTGGGCCGCTGGCGAGCGCGAGAGCGAGAGCGACGAGCGACGGAACACTCACCCTGGCCTCGAGCTTGCTGATGATGCGCTTGCCGCCGACGATGGCGTTGGCCTCCACCTCCTCCAGGCGCACGGACAGGTTCTTCACCTCGATCTCCAGGCTCTTCTTGATGGCCTCGATCTTCACGATGCGCTCCTGCTCCTCGTGCAGGATCTCGACGGTGTGCTTGAGCTCGTTCTGCACGCGCTGGTAGCGCTCGTCGCTCACGCGCAGCTCCTTGGTCACCTCCTCGTAGTCGCCGGCCAGGGTGGACAGCTCCTGCTCCAGCTTGGCCTTGGACGAGGCGATGTTCACGTTTATCGTGGTCAGCTCGTTGATGCGACTGTGTGCCTCCTCGTACTGCTGCTCGACCGTCCTCTTGGCGCGGAGGGCCTGCGAACAGCGAACGACGGAAAGCAGCGATCAGACCGGCCGCCGAGAGCTGCGCACCAGCGACTCGCAGAGGGACTCACAGACTCGTAGTTGCCGCGAACCTCTTCCAGTTCGGAGGTCAGGGATTGCAGGCGGCGTTGGCTCACGCCCAGCTGGTCGAGCGTCACCTGCAGCTGGCGCTGAACTTCGTCGTAGTGGGCTTGCAGCTCCTGCGGGTCAGATCGAACGCCGGATTAACGGAAGCGAGCGGCTCGAGCGGCTCGAGCGGCTCGAGCGGCTGCCGGCCGTCGCGAGCCTCCTCCGCCTATACTCACGGTCAGAGTGAGCGACTGCTTCTTGATGGTCTTCTGAAGATCGAGGTTGGTCTTGTTGGCTACGTCGAGGGCCAGCTCGAGCTCGGTGATCTGGATCTGCATCTTCTTCTTGACGCGCTGCACCTCCGTCTTGAGCTTGATCTCAGCCTCGACCACGCGCGCGTTCAACTGTTCTATTTCTATGCTCATCTGCTTGCTGCAAATCATTGGGCAAATAACGAGAGCTCAATTAAAGTGGTTGATGGCTGCGATCGAGTCGAGCTAGAGTGCGAGAGATACAGTGCGAGTTGGTCGCTACGAACGAGAAGCGGCGGCCGGGGCTCGGATGTGTGTGTGTGTGTGAGGGTGGAGAGGGGAGGGAAGGGAAAGGGCTTATTGCGGCAGACCTCTTGTCGACAAAGTAGTGGGTGCTCTTCTGCTCGAAGCTCTTCATCTCGTGGGAGAGAGCGTGGAGCGGCTCGGTTAACTTGTCGAGATCGGTCATGTTCCTGAGCCGGTGCTCCATCGCCCTGTGGTGCTCCGGCTCGTCGTGCAACAGCTGCACCGCGACCCGCTGGTGCTTCCTGGCGTCGGCGAGCTCCTCGCCGCGCGACAGCTTGACTAGCGCGCTGCTCTTCAGCTGATACTCGATGGCCTTGGCGGACTTGCCGCGCAGGCTCTTGCCGTGGTCCAGAGACTCGAGCAGTTGCTCCTCGGACTGCAGATCGCGGAGAGCCTCCCTGCGCAGCTCGCCCATCTGCTCCTGCTGCTCCAAGGGCCCGTGGCGGATCTCGAAGCTCTTCGCGTCGGCCTGCAAGCTGCTCGAGTAGACCTCCTTCGAGACCCGGGCTGCCTGCACGCACTTCTGCCTGCTGAAGTCCGAGCGCTTCGCCGCCTAATCACACCACATGTCAGCGCTCTGTCAACTGTAGTCGCTCTAATCTTAGCCTCTCTGCGGCCCAAGTGCGAGTCTGTCTACGTGAAAACCAACTGAGCAAACTTCGCTTTTATTTCCGTCGTCGATCTTTCCGAGCCCGGCTAACTTGGGCGAGCTGTGGCGAGCGCGTCCAATCGATCGATCCTCGCTCGGTGCGCCAAAGTGCTTTTTTCGCGATCAGAAAGAACTGCGCCGCTGAATGTTACTCGCGTTTCGAAAATTATAACAATTACAATCGATGGAAATGCGGAGCCGAAGGCGACGCCAAGCGCAAAACAACTGCCCGGGCACGGCGCGTCGCGAGCAATGAGCTGGCCAGCACATCGCAGCAGCGCCAGCTCCGCGCTTAACCGCTTGCTGCTTGCTCGCAATCTTGTTCTATTTCTCGTTCTCAATCTTGCTCTCCACGTCTATCTCGAATCTATTTCTCCGCTAGCGCAGCTGCTGCTGCCTGGCCCTGCTTGTACCGCACCGATTTAGAAAACCGAGCTACCCAAAGGTTACACTTCGCCAATTTTCCAATTCATCACCCAACTCGAGTCTTTCCTTTGTTATACTTTATTAAACGCGCTGATTCATTGGCCTATTTTTACGTACTCGACGAGAAATCACAACCCCGGAAGTCGACGCACCTAAATCATTATTGTATTGTGTTCTGTTACGTAAATTTATCGGCGACTATTCAACCGTTAATAAGTTTTTCATTGAACGACTCCAAAATAAAGAAGTCTTTTAACTTGGTTCACCAGATTCTTTTGCTATTTGTTAATTCTGATAGAAAAATGGAATTTACGGCAAAAATTTAGTTTCTAAAACTTTATATTTACAAGGCCGGAACATCGAAACTTAAACTACAGAAGTTTGGAAGGAAGCTTGAGCGCGTGAACTACCCGAAACCGTGAAATATTAAAAATCCGTAACAAGCATTTTATACATTTCATCCGCTTGAAATGTCCTCACTTAGCTTCGTTGCACTTATTTTTTGTTTCAATTTTAAAAGTCAGCGGCAGTCTGTCTCTATTCCTCAAGAAATCTCTACAAAATAATTTCAATATTTCATGTAGCGTATATACTTGGATTAATAGATAGAGTACAGGGCCAATTATTTCAAGTTTAGCCTGCCAATAATAAGCTTTTTTGACTGCATGACTAATGTAGCTAAATCATTGCGATATTAATTTGGTTTTAAATAACGCGAAACTTATGAAGTTATATGTTACTCGATAGATTAAAAGTTTACAATACATTCGACGATACGTTTATTGTAAAAATATCCGGTGTGTCAGTGAAGTTTGTCAGTGAATTTTCAAACGTCAAAAAGTGTTACAAACGTTCCGCTGGACTAGCAGGCTTACAAAAGAGTAAGTGTCAGGTGTATACCTTGAAGTAATTGAGATGTTCCTTCGCCTGTAACTCAGCAGCGACGACATGTCTTGCAAGCTCATCTTGAGTGTAAGGCACCACGTAGTCATGCTCCGACATACTACGTGGTTGTATGAACTGTGCAGACGGACTCTTTGGCAATTCACCACTTTCTTTGCGGTCGATTAAATCTATCATAGGTTGGTAGTAATTGATACCATAATTGTAGTTTCGTTCGTAAACCATTGTGGGCAGATGCTTCCAACGGCTGGGAGCCACAGGCATTTGTGATAACGGCACGTCAAACATGTTTTATTTTCTTTTTCTTCTTCTAATTATTTTGTCTTCTTGCTCTCTTGATTGTTCGTTCGATTGTTCGTTCGTTAGATTTTCTTGTTCTTTTGACAGTTTGATTCTAAAGTAAGTGGTAAACGCCGATTGCACTCAAAATGATCGAAAATACACTGCAGTTGTGGGCTCGGATGCTCTACCATTTGTAGACTCGGCTCCTAGCACCCATCAACTTGCCTAACTCTCGAGACTTGATTCGCTGTTGACTGACCGATGAATAGTAGCTATTAATCACAGTATCGGCTCTATTATTAACGAATGATCGTGATGAAAGATTTAGCGAACCATCTCTCTACGCACAATATACAGGTCGAGGACTAACGATGCTCGGCTCGTCAAAGTCCACGTGTAGATAACTCGAAATTAGCAGTCCTTCCGAGCGATGACAGAGCCCTTTTCTATATATCATCTCAGCCATAAACAATTTGGGATCCAATATTTTTTCAGATTTTATATGGATGGAGTCGGATGGAAAAGTAGCAATGGAATAAGGATTTAGGAGAACGACCAACACGCATAGTCAATAAGCTTCTAACATAATCCAAAGCTTTCTAATGATCCTACTCATAACTTAATTCACCAATTATTAGTCATACTTCAATGATAACATTGAGTAGAAAAGGATATTGAAATCTAATCGATAATATTATTTAAAGTATCACAATTATTTCTTTTTTTTAATAAATATTGAAAAATGGCTGGTCGAGGCACATACTAGTTGCCTCTCAAATAGTTTTCGTAAGCTTACTGATAATACCTAGATTTGATAAGCATTTTAAAAATTCGTAGTAGTTAATACTTACCGAATCGCCTCAATTTCTTCATCCTTCTCGGCAAGACGACGCTCGGTCTCGTGACGGAGTTGACTAAGTTCAGCAGAAAGTCTTTGAGAACGCTGTTCTTCGATCTTGCGACCCTGTCAATTGTTTAATGCCGGATTTCATTAGTATCCAATAAAAGATCAACACAATTTTGAATTATGAACTTACGGCCTCGGCTTCTTTGTAAGCAGCAGCCAATTCTTCGCGTTCGTTCTCCAGACGACGAAGCTCAAGTTCAAGTTCGTGCAATCTGCGATTCATATCAGCAAGTTGGTTCTTGGCATCGCCCAAATCATCTGCGCAAAACATACAGGTATTTATTTTAACAAATCATTGACGAGTCTGAGAGGTTGTGTTTGAGCTATGCAAGAGTTGAGATGTGAAACCACAAAGTACTAGTATTGCGAAAATTTCATTGAACACATTGTTCTATGATGTATTTATTTAAAAAAATACTAGTACTTTTGATCGTAATTTTCATTTAAAAAAGATTATGTCTTGGCATGAATGAATAGAATAATTGATGAATAGTTGTAAGTGAAAGTACATCGAAAAAGATGATGACCTACCAGACAGTTTCTTATTTTCACGAGCTAATTGATCCTTCATTTCGCGAGTTTTGTCGAGCTCGGCATTAGTACGTTGAAGCTCTTGTTGCTTGTTGCGCAAATCACGTTGGCTCACTTCGTACAATTGAATAGTTTCTTCGAGACGTGTTTTAAGTTCAATATTGGCTTTTTCAAGATGTTCAACGCGTTTCTGCAATTCCCGAGCTGTTCCATTAGCCTAATAAAACACAAATTAAATAGTTTATACTTTACCACTCTTTATGTATCGACTGCATGGTTGTTCATTGTCTTTCTCACCTTCTCCAAATCAATAATGAGAACTTCAACTTCAGATTGGAGGCGTGATTTCTGTTTCTCAAGATTGTTTATTTTGACGAGAAGAGTTTCGATTTGCTCTTCTTGTTCTTGGATGCGAGCGCTGTATTTCCTGCGCAACTCTTCGACCTGTCACAGAAAATAAAATGTTGAAATTAAGCATATCATCTTAAAAGTGCATCGTTTATCATTTTTAACTTGAATTTGCACGAAGCATTTTTATTCGTCGATTGTATAGGAAACTAGGAGTGATATCTGACCTCTTCAGCGCGTGCATTTGCCTCGGTTTCGTACTTAGATCTCCAGATGGAAACTTCTCCATTGGTTTTCACCAATTGTCGCTCCAGCTCCAAACGGGCCTCTGACTCTTCCTCCATTTGTACGCGAACTGACTCCAGCTCTGTCTCAACCTGCCGAATTTATTGTACTTTAAGTCTTTTATTAGACTCATTATAGATATAATTATAACAAAGAAATTCAAAATCTAAAAAACTACTAGATAATCGGTTAGCTATTTACCTGGTGAAGAGATGCCTCAACAAGTGATCGGCGGCGTTCCTCATCTTCCAATCGGCGACGTGCATCCTCGAGTTGACTAGCTATTTGGGATCTCAGGTAAGTGATGTTTTCAATGTTCACCTAAAATAAGTAACTCTCTTTGCTCTTTCATCGTGAACATGCGTTTGCTGAAAGTTATGTAATTTATGTTTATTCCAAATCATCGCAAACGCGTTACCTTTAGGTCTTGAACTTCTTTAACAAGTTCAATGTTTTCCTGTGACAAACGGGTTTTGTGACTTGTGATATCAACAATAGTACGATTGAGCTCCTCAATCTTAACATTGAGTTCCGATACATGAATTTCCAATTTTTCAACGGTCTTGATGGACATAATCTTTTCTTTGGTAACATTGTCGATCTGGGAAAGGAGCTCATACACTTCTTGTTGGAATTTTGCTTTTTCTTTGTCGGCTCTGCAATAAATAATTTTTTTTTATTAACATCGTTTAGTCATAAAAAAATCTATCGTTCATACGCCATCTACAATATATAAATAAAGACTATAATTTTTTGGAATGTAATAATTTATTCTATTTTTTAATCAATCAACAGCTCCAAAGCTGCGGTAGGACGTGTGAACCTTTTAAAGCTTAACACTTACATAAAACGTTAATTCTATTTGAAATATGTTGATAAAAAATTTAATTTAAAGATGAGTTTGTATCTATTTTACATATGAAGAAATAAGCCGAGGATCGTACTCATTAGTGTTTATAACAATCAATGTTGACCCTCGATAACAGACGTTTTACCACTATTTTTTTCAACAACACGACTAACTGCCAAATTGATTCTATAGAGGCCTGCAATGGCTCGGTCGGTAGGGCGACGGACTCGCACCCGGTAGGCCCGGGTTCGATTCCCAGTTCTTGCTGATACAAGCACCTCTGAAAAAAGTTTCATGTGCTTTGTTCTGAAACACATTGCAAGCCTCCGTCGCTAATTAGCACTGATGGAGCATAAATAGAGCGACGTTAAAATAAAAAAAAAAAAAAAAAAAAAAAAAAATTGATTCTATAAAAATTTCGAAATACACTACTCCGACATAAGAAATGCTAATCTTCTGTAATCTATTTCCAGCATTTCATAAAAATTAATATTAAAAAATTCATATTTGTTTATTTAACAAAAAACGGGAAATTTTTTATGGTAGAATTTTTTTATTCTATATTTTTTTATCAAAGCAGTATATTGATATTCTCGATTAATAAAGTTTTTGTCTATGGATCTTGAACATTTAAACGTATATATAGGTTTTTTGAAATTTAACATGGCGACCTACAATGTAGCGGTCGAAAGACAATTTTTTGTAAAATTACGAATAATATTATGATTTTCGAGTACAAGCATCTTTTGAAATGTCGTGAAAATTAGTGTGTTGGAATTTTGGAGGGCGTTTATTACAAATTCGTTATCAAAACGTTTGAATTTAATATATCGGATCTAATATGGCTGCTGATAATGACAGAAAATTCTCCTATTTTGGTAAAAATGTGTATACTAATTTTTTTTGAGTCTGCCAATTTCGGCGAAAACCCTATATTTTCATTTGAAAGTTCAAGGTCCGTGGACGCGAAAACTATTGATCGGGGATATCATAATATTGTTTCGATGTGAAAATGTAGAAAGAAAAAATTTTATCGTCAAAAATTTTCCGTTTTTTGTTGGATAAACAAATGTAACTTCTTTAATATTAATTCTTATGAAATTCTGAAAACAGATTTCGAAAGATCAGTATTTTTTACGTCGGAATTGTGTATTTTGAAATTTTTAAAGGATCGATTTGATAGTTAGTCACGCTACTAAAGAAAAGGTTGGAAAAGCGTCCGTCATGGACTTAATCGGTTCATTCTGCGTGAAACATAATTGCATATTTGAAGTTCACTGAAGAATGCAGCGGATGTGTTAAAATCAAAGTTCTCGCGATACAAAACGCCCACGCCTTGAAAGCTGAGCACGCACAAGTCTACGTCATAAGGTGTAAGGTGTCAGACAGTTTTAATTCTGAAAATAAGTGGGGATTCGTGCGGGCGAGCTGATTTTCAACGTGTACTAATATGGCGAGCAGGGTGGTAACGTTGACTCTCGACTCGACTGCAAAACGTGCTAAAAATAGTTGCAAGCTTAAGCTCAGCAAAGTTTCTCTTTCCCTCTCCTTCTCCTTCTCTTCTCTCTTTCTCTCTCTCTCTCTCTCTCTCTCTCTCTCATTCTTTTCCCTCGCTTTCTTCTGTGAGGATGTTTATATGTGCATTTATATTTTTTACAAGCTCTCATAAAAGTTTGTCTAGTCTTTGCAGTGACTAGACGAGTATTGAAAGCTCTAATAAAAAATGAGGAATTCTCTATTATTGATTCGTCTTTGTACCAGTTTTAAGTAATCAAAGATTAAGAAAAAACTAAATCATGATTTCACAAGTAGGCAATCAAGAATGTAGTAATTCCGAATGGATATTTTCCACAACGAAAAGTACGTTATTTTTAGCGAGACTCAAACTTCCAACAAAAACTGGAACACTCCAAGATTTGCTCGAAAAGCGGAACATTTGTTTTTCAAAATACAAGTTCTTGTATTTTTGTTTTATATTCTAAATATTATCTTTGTTATAACGTACGGTTTGTTATAACAAAAAAATAAGTTTCGCAGACAATATAAAATAAAAATAGATCTTTTCAACTACATATTGCTTTGAGATAATGTACTAGTGTTATAAACATAACATTTCATACTTAGATGTAAAAAGAAATATTTTCAACAAGATTTTTATCGCATTGCATAGTTAAAATTTCACAATGAAATATCACGTTTAACATTACATGAATATATATTTTCTGTTAATAATTTTTTTTTGTTATCTATTTGTTTGAGTTAATTTTTGTACAAGTCGTAAATATATGTAAATAACTCAATTCTATACTATTCTGGCAATTTATTCATATACTAGATGGTAATGAAAAATATGAAATTATAAAGTCCTTTACATTACATACTATTAAAAACGGTTAAAACTTGTGTTTAATATTTCATTTTATTCAAAGTATCCTTTATCTCTAAATTTATTTAATAACGGACAATAACATAACTCTAGGCAGTTGAGATACGGTAAAATTTTTTTACGTATTGAAAATACAAATAATCAAATTTAAAAGAAACAATAATGAAGAAAATTTCGCAAAATGTAACTGACAAAGACAAAAAAGTATAACCGTTGAAAATGTAGTTGCGGTACATAATGTGTAAGAAAAAATGTTGGATCAATAAAATGTACATACAAAAATTTACCGAACGATTGAATATCGATATATTGTATATTTGTATATTCTTAATTGCTAAGCGGATTTATATTATTTATAAACCTTTCGAGTTTCTGAATTTTTATTTTTCAAACGAATAATCAGCGATATAAGTTTACTACGTACCGAGCACGAGCCTTGGAGAGCTGATCAATTTGATCTTGGAAATCAACGACGACTTCCTGGTGTTTTTTACGCAAAAGATGTGCAGTTTCCTCACTCTCGAGATGTACATCTTCTAAAAGTTTTCTTAACTTTAATAATTCAGTATCCCTTTTCTTATTAATTTCAAACTGTAAAATTAATATTCAATCAATATTATTTTTTTAGCAATAGTGACAACTATTACCATACTTCAGTTTTGGAAATGCCCTGACTTACTTGAGATTCAGCGCCGCCTTCAGCCTCTTCTAAACGTTCTGATAACTGAATGACTTGCACACTCAAATCTGCTCGTTCTCGTTCGATCTATAAGAAAAAAGTTTATTATTTACAACTTTATTAGTTTTGTCATGTTTCACTTTATTTAATAGATTGACTGACAAATTTTTATACAAGTTACTATTCAACGTAATAGGTTTTTCTCTAATATAGAACTGATTGAAATAAATCACCCTGTTTATTTAAACTCAATGTATTTCACAAAACTTATTTAATTTTTAATTTACGATAATGGTTTTGAAACATGAAAATGATTGACAGCCAACGATTCAACGCGATATTGATACCTGTATAAAAAAATATAATCATAAACTTTTCTCAAGATGATTAAAATAATCTTGAATTATTTACTATTACCAAATTCACAAAATATTTTTTATGTTAAAGCTTCATGTAAATGTGAATATCTTTATTAGCTTATATCTAGATTGTAGATTTAACAGTGTAGTACACTTGAAATCCATGTAGTAAATTTGATTTTAAGTCCTTCAAGGTTACAATAGCCAATAGTTAGGCTGCTTTAATTAATAAATTATGTAAAAAAACTAATCTATGTTTTATTTTATCCGAATCATTAGATAAAATTAGATCGACAATCTTATACATATATAACATATATAAAAATATACATAGATACATGTGTGTATGTGTGTGTGTGTGTGTGTTTCTCTCTTTCCCTCCCACTTCTCTTTTGAACAGCCTACTATAAACACAAGCATCGCGATCTAATTTCATGCGACCGTTTCTAAATTCAGCGTCTTATTCATATCAGAACGAGGCGCTAGTAGTGCAACCACCTATGCTACCAGCCTAGCCTGTTATTAAAATCAGTTTAACTTTATGATAGAGCTCGATGCCAACCATCCGAACCATCCTGCAACTTATTATAAAACTGTATATTTGGAATATTTCATAAAATTATTTAAAAAATTGATTGCATTATAGCCTACTCCGTTTGAACCTTTGACGAAAACCATGTCACTGCGTTATTTCAATATAAATTCACTGAAATATTTCATCTTTATGCATTCCATCTTATAGACACAGCTGCCAAATAAATAGATCATTTACAAAAATATGAGCAGCCATTGATAAATACTGTAATATCTCTGTGAAATTTGTAACTTCGATAATGAATCAAAACATGTTTTTAATTTGAATGTAACGCTTGAAATCGATATGACAAAAAATGATGAATAAACTGAGGGAAATTGACTTATACCAATCTTAGTGAAGAATAAGTGAAAGTGATTAAAAATTGATAATATTTAAAAGGTAGCGAGAAGCTGTGGTACGAAGCTTGCCTAAAATAACTACAGCGCCAGAGCTGGACATGGTGACCTACGCATGCACTAGTGCGAGTCATCGCTACTATCTTTGGCCACGATTTCGTTCGTGGATATTCATAACAATGTTGGAATTTAACCGAATGCTTCTCGAAATAAGAAAATTAAATTCACGCACCGTTTAGTACAACGATTATTTATATTTCTCCTTTTCTATTAATCGTGTAGTCTTTACGTAATACTTTTCATTTAGCTCTTTATGACTACTTGAATAAAAAACAAACCTTTCGTACATGTTATAATGACACTTACTCTCTGACGTAACTCTCTCTCGGTCTCGAGGTCATCCTGCAATAGGCGGATTTTGTCCTGTAACAGACATTCAGTAATTTCAACACTTTTGTCTTATACTCCAGTCACTAAAAATAAGAAAGCTCTCGTATATTTGCCCTATCTAACTATTTTTCCAAGATAACTCGTCTATGAATACTTCCTTCAAGTTTACGTAATTGTGGGTTTAAAAATATTTCCTTGATCTCAAACTGTTAGGAAAAAGTGATTAGTGGCCAATTACTAAATTTAAAAATATTCCAAGTGCTTTCAAGTTTTTCATTTTATTTTTAAACATTTCACTCCGAGGAAGTTTCGGTATGAGTCAGCTTATTGAGGAAACAACGTTTTCCCAAATAGAGCACAAACTTTGCGAGAATTTCTTCAATGCTACTTGAATGATGCACAAATACAACTTTCAGGTTTTTTAAAGTTAACCACTGAACGATTTTCACAATTTTTCAGTCTTCGTCAAAAGACGTGCTGGCTTTTTCTCTGAAGCAATGAACTTTCAATCACTTTACGGTATCACAAACATGTTAATTTCACTCGGGAATTCGGGCAAAATGAAAGTGAAATTTGAATTAGAATCGCGCCATTTGAAAAGCGTGGTGTATATTTGTGTAAAATAAAAGATTTGACGTAAGACGAGATAGATAAGGGTGAGGGCTGTATGAAGAAGTGATTATGAGTGCTTGATAAAACTTACCTCGAGTCGGGACAAAGCACTAAGATCGGCACTGTACTCGATGCTGACGTCTGCCTGGCCACCAGTACCGGTCGAGCGGTACGAGTACTTTGAAGTCTTGGCTACTGCAGAAGACATATCGGTTTATCCGCTATCAATAGGTCGAAGAAGAAGAAAAAGTAGTCGTAGCAAAAGTTGAAAGTTCAGTTGGTCGAGCCCTTGGTCGAGCAAAGAGCAATGAAACTGAATGGGGTATCGTGTTGCAAGGAGTGGGCACCGTTGGTCCTCCCTAAGCTCTGAAGAAAATTTCTCAGAACGGTCGGCTTAGCAAGGTGTCTCCGTTGGCTCGTTCCACTTTTAATCTGGCCAACGATATACCAGAGTATGCGTGGCGAGTGGTGCGTGCGTCTCTCTCTCTCTCTCTCTCTCTCTCTCTCTCTCGCTCTCTTTCTCTCTCTTTCTCTCTCTTTCGCTTATTTCACTTGTCGCTCGGGGTGCTTCGGTGCCGACCAGCGCCCTACTCGTAGTGCGTGAACTGCCGTCGTTCGTTTGCCGCGCCAACTCCGCGGCTCGCGTGTCGAGCTTTCGCCTCGCGCATGCGCCTTACGCTCCTCTCGTTCGCTTACGACCATAACCATCCCTTCTACCGATCTTCCGCTCTCTTTCTCTCTCTCTCTCTCTCTCTCTCTCTCGTCCCCTCGCTGTTCGCAAGCTCTGCTTGCATCCGGCACCTTCGCTCTACTCTCTTCTTCACTTATTGTCTTCGTGACTTACCTTTCGTTCAATCTTAGATATCGGTGTCCCATCTTATTCACGTCTATACCATTGGCGCTCAAATAAACATTCTTACTGGTGCATTTGAGCAGACTTCTTAGTTTATTATTGTCTGAACTTAATAAGAATAGCTTTCATATTAAAAGCAATCGATTCAGAATTTGACCGATGATTCACTACATCGAACAACATGGAAAACGATATATCATTCGCGTTGTTTGGAAAATTCATTGGAGCAGGACTCGTTGCCTCTTACTATACTATACCCATTCTATAAAAGGCCGTGGATAGCAAGTGGGCGAAGACGTGGAATAGCGGCACAACGAAACTCGCAACCAGTAATTTGAGATTGGCTCCAACAAGTCCTCTCTTCAGTGACAAGCTTGTGTATGCGCATACTTCCCCGTGCTTTTCATATCTTATATACTTTTCCAATAATTTAATTGTTTTGTCCATTCATTCCTTAGTTCTCAAGGACTTTTTCCTGCACTTGCAATCGTCCTTGCATCATTTCTCGTCATAGGACTTATTTATTCCTTTTGCTATCTGTTACTCAATACTGATACGCATGCCAAGAGTAAGAGTCAGAAGTGGGGAACCAAAAAAAAAAAGAAAATGAATGAGCCAACAGGAATGTCGGAAAGAGAACGAAAAAGAGGATAAGAGAATGACAGTAAAAACATATAAGAATAACTTGGCTTCAAATTCAGAGATCAGTTTGCGCTTCTGAAAGTTCAAATGAACAAAAATCAACTAGCCACTTTTATGCAAAAAGTGACGTAATTGCAATCCGAAGTTGCTTTTTATATCTCTAGAATTGACTTTAATTGTTACAATATGTTTATTTCAACCAGTAATCAATAATTTTGATACTTTGTTCAATAGTCACATACTTGCATCCCTTCCGTGATACTATAAATGTGATATCTCACAATCAAAAGCCTGATGTGAAGATTAAAAGATTAATAGGCAAAGCCAATTGCGTGAATTTTTATGTTGATATTGGGTGGAATAGATCGCCAGTTATTGAGCTTCTATTTCAATAACAAGTAGCTATAGCAATAATAATGATATGGATGTTAATTGCTACTTGAAAATGAGCTTGAATTTACTTCTGTCATAATATAGAGAGTACCAAAATACAACTGGCAAGATTTGAAGCTAAAAATCAGTTGAATATACAATTACAATATTAATATAAAAATTACAAACCTTATTTTTCAATTAAAATTTCGTAAATGTAAATGATAATCTGATAGCAATTTGTACAATGACGTTGCAGATAAATAACTTTCTTAATACAAAGAGGAATTATACAGGTGTTCCGTATTATCACAATGCATATGAAAAATAAACAATAACAATAGACTGATAAAGATGAGGAACTTGTCACAGATGAATAATCTGAGTGAAAACTACGTGTACATTTCGACTGAGGAAGGCGAACATAAATTGAAGCACGTTGGCCTAATTTTCTATATATATACAGCTTCTTTCTACTACTGGATATCTCTTACTCTTTTACGTCTGCCATACGTGGAAGATCTTGACTTTTAGCCGAGACGTGGTGTTTATAAACATCATGACTACTCACGCCAATTGATCTTATCACCTTATCGATAAGGATTGTGTTATTCAACTGTCGATCATTTTACTGATTCTCGAAGTTCTTAATTATTTGACAATTAATTTATTTCTTTGCATGACGATACATTTTCTGGTTTTTCTCAATGAATCACATGTAAAATATGGTTGCATCACACGACAATGAGTAATGTAAACCATTTGTTTTGTTTTTATACCATGAAGTAGTGAATCAGGAAGACAAATAAAATTTATCACGCTTCATTTAGGTTTGCTTGAAAATTGCAAACTTAAAAACTCAAAAGTTTCTTGTGTCAGAGGCCAAAAACAGCATGAACGGCTTAAGAAACGGCAATTTTAGAAGCTCGGTGTTTGGCACAAATATAACTGACCAAGTGCACCGACTCAATGTAAAATTCTTATCTACTAGACGCATTATAAAAATAAGACGTTTAAACAATTTCATTCAAAAAAGGTATGCATTCCAAAAATAAGATGCAGTCGAATGAAAATAATAGGATTTTTATTAACGATAAAATGTATAAATTTCTGCCGACTACTATACAATTAAACGTAACATATTTTCTAAAAGATGAAATCCGCGTCCTACCAATTGATGATCAATCAAATATTATTAGTTTTGATTGTCGATATTCAGATAGACGGATTAGATATCAATGCATTGAAAGGAACTAAATTCAATATTCGTAATAAGCCATCCTCTTAGAATTGCGTATACCAAATACAACGAAAATTATATTTGTGGAATGTATTGATCAAACCTCACAAATCAATATGCTTTGTACAATAATTACCTTACCATGGCATGATCTTACTATAATGGTAATTTATTATTTCATCAAATATATATTATTTAATGATTCAGTTTTCCTATTTATAGTGCCAAGCGTGGATAACTTTTCGTTAACTGTACAAAATATTTCCTCGTCCGCATGTTACAGTTATTTTTAGCAACACACGCCAGACGTTTCCACATTGCTAAAGAAATTTTCAGTATTCATTTATTAATATTCAGATGAATTTCATTTACATTTCAAATGTACATGCTTCAATATTTTCATTATTCCTTAATCGCGAAAGTTGATCTTGTTTTCAAATTAAAAATATACATCGGTTATTAAAAATTAAGAGTATCATCTTTACTAGACCTTTAATTTTGTATATATTAGCACTGACTTTTCAAATATTTATTTTAATTTTTTTCAGAAATATTTTGTCAAATTCATTCTAATTTTTTAATACACTGTACCATATCTATAAATAGTAAATATCTACAATACAAGAGTCTGAAAACAAAAGTTATGAAGATCTGAAAATCCCTTTAAGTAGAGCATGTTACATTATATGACAAAAATAAAAAGGAATCTTATAATATTTCATAAATTTTTCCGATAATAGTTCATTCTTGTCATTTGCTAATTAACTTTAAACCTTTTTAAGAGATGTTTTTTATTAATGTTCCAAATTAATCCTAATGTTTGCTGTCGGTAAATAGGTTGAAATTAATTGAAATTAATCAGGTTGAAACCTTATAAAAATCACCAAAATTATATCGAAAAAAAATACTTTTCAAAAGGTTAAATATTAGAAATTTTGCAAAGATCGTATCATACGACATTATAGAGCTTATATACGAGCTAGTTTTTTACTATCTGTAATCCGTTTTTTAGAATGTTTTACTAAAAATTACATGTACTAGCTTATTAATATTTTTATTGAGAAAACTTACAAAACTATTCTCCTATTTTATAATGTCTTATATATATAAAAGACATATATATATATAAATTTTCCCGTGTTAGTTTTGCTTGGTTTCGAAATTGTGCTTATTAATCATTCAATTTCTTCTTTTGTAGCATCCGTTAAGCGAGGTTATATAAAATATTGTTATTTATTAACTAGCTTGATGCATTATTAAGTGAAACTTTGTTAATAAATACATATACTGGCAGCGAATAATACAAAAATAAAAACGTAACGCAGTACACGAATGTACAATTAACTGCTTTATGAATAAAACACTGAACTTAATATGAACTATCATTTGAAACTGTGACTATCTGCAGTGTTGGCTAGTCACAGACTGACCGCGATCGCTCATCCTTCGGGACTCCTTGGGCGCAAGAGGAAAATAATAAAATTTGGAACTACAAGTTCAAAGTTCGACGCTTTCCCTTCGATACAGATGCTAAATTTACCTTAGAATGAATTGTTTTATAGTCTAGAGAAGTCGAAATATATTTCTTGTCAAACGAGATCATAATTAATCGTACGATATTAATTATTTCCTATCCGCACCATCGCTGATTTTCACTATTTTGTTGCCAGTTACCTTCATAGAAAACTTATCGTCTATCTGTAGCTGCGGGGACAATTGTAAAATTCTAGTTTTTCTCAACAAAATGTTGCTCGCGAAGAAAAATCTAAACACGAGTTACTTCATCAGTAATCTTTCATAATTTAGGAGAAGACGAATATCATTCAAGTTTCAAATAGAAAATTATAAGCTATTGCAAAATATATGTATCATGAAAAATTTAGTTGTAAAGTTGTACTTATTTGGCGGTGGAAGCGGATAAGCGAAATCTATCGGAAAGTTTTTCAACTAGTAATCTTGTGTAAAACTTTAGAACTTATCTCGAGTGACTAACGAAGTATGAAGTTGAGCTAGCCGACGGAGTTAGCATGTGCGCGACTAAAATTGATGTTCTCGAATTCCTACTGCTGGCAGCACTAGTAACGTATGGTTCAGGAAACTTTAAGATTTAATCATTTGAATTTCCACGTATTTTTTTATTTTGTTGTACGTGAACCTGGATCACACGACCAGACAATCAGTACCGATTCATATAACATTATCGTACTCGTATTCTTAGTCACAGGGAACTATCAATGAAAAAAAATTCTTTTCCGAGTCCCGGAATGATTATTTTTTAGAAAACAATATGAAGTTTGCTTGATAATATAAAATATGATTCATTTTGAAGAACAGCAAGATATAAATATATTCTTTAATAGTAACAGTTCATAATGGTTCCCTAATGCTGTCAAATTTCGCATAGCACAATTATTTTACAAAATCATTAAAACATTTTATAATTATTGTTTTGAAGCTTGAGTTTGAGTAAGAATACGTTTTGACAATTTCTTAGACAATCGAAAGTCAGCTGAATGGTAATATCATGATCGTTGAGTTGAATAAAGAATTACATGACATACATTACACTTATCTTATTATTTTCTTAAATAAATAATAATGAATAATTATTTTGACTGAATGCGTGAATAGCAGCAAGGTATCGTTTTAAAATATGCATAAGCACGACATAACATCGGTGACGCAATCGCGTGAACATGTAAACTGAGAGTATTATACGGCAAAAGGGCGCAAGCAAGAAGAAGCTAGCACGGTAAGATAGAAAGAAAAGCAGAGGCGAACGTTAATACTCTTAAAATAGGCTCTGTGTATACCAATGAGCGAATAAACTTGAGATGTGTATACGCGTATGCATGAGTGAAAGACAGAGATTGAGAGAGAGAGAGAGTGAGAAAGAGCGAGGTTTAAAACTAGGGACGTGCAAGACTCTTGGGTCGCCGGCTTTCGGCCTGGCACAAACTTCGAAACTCGACCTCAAGTTGTTCTCGCACCGTCGCGTATCGAGCGTCTCCTGCACGGTGTTTAGACTAAAAGCTTTTCTATCTATTTTTTGGCTTATCTTTGCATCTTTTCGTACAGTGCTCTTCGACACCACTATATAAAGCCTCAAGTAGTTATATTATGCAAATATTATTCATGTTTTTTACTTCACTTTTGGAATATAATATTAAGTATTTCCGTTTTATTGGTGATGTAATAGGTCTTGTTATTATCGCTGTCAAGAGGATCCCTCGCGCGACATCTTCATAGTGTTTGACAAGTTTACAGTTTATTAATGTCATGTCATCTTTCAAAAGTTATGTAAGTTTTTAGTCGTGACAATTCTTTTAACTCCTACGCATCCTCTGAGTACGTTGACTTCAAATAAGATTTTTGTTCTTGCATTTGTCCGTTAATATATAATTATTTTATAGAAAGTCCGACGAGTTCTTGTTAAGTGAAAAATCTTTGGCTTACTTTTATCAATAACTTTTCAAGCCATTTGCTACAGTTTTATTTGTCCACTCAGTAAAAGTAAATAATAATAGTAATAAATATATCTTCGCAATGAATTCAGAGATTTTTTTACATGAAGAATCACTACCATCGCAATTCACCTTTACCTTTACCTTCAGTCCACTACCATTACAAACTAGGTTATTAAGGAATTTGTTATTAAAATGATTAATTTAAAATTAACGCATCTGAAAGTTCCTTGCTGTAAGTTAATTTTGTTGAATAATATTTTTATAATTTAAACTTTGATTAATACATAAATTGGTAAAATATTAAATTATAATATTACAAATATTGATAAAATTTGATAGTTTTTATTGAAAAGAACTCGCATACTTATTTTTGTTGACATTGTACTAGTTAGAGTTACGTTTGACTTTTTTCTTATGCAAGTTCTCTGCATGGAGTTAACAGAGACCTGTAATTGTTTGTTTAAGTTTAGATGCATTACAAGTATTTGCAAGATCAATATATTTCACGTTGAAAGCCAATATTTTATTTTTATAAAACAAAAATTTTATCTTATACAATTTAATTAAAAATATTATTTTATTGGATTATACTAATAATAAAAATTTCTGATTCAAAATGTTATTTTAATTCTAAATGCTTTCCAATAGTATTTGACTGAAATTCCCAAGACATACTGGTGCAATCAATAAGATTTTTTACATAACCGTTCATAGCAAGTGAAAAAACTAAATGCCGACAGAAAGAACTCACACTTAGCCTTGTTAAATCTATCAATATTCCTTTTAAACAAGGTTTTATTTTGCATTCACCTTAAGCCGAATTTTCATCTTTAAGAATAGAGTGATTTTTAATTGCAACAAACCGTGACATGTCAAAGTGGCATGTCTATTCATTATTTAAATTCTACTGCTCTGAAAAAGGCAGCGTTCCCAATCTTAACCATCCGCTAGTATGTTACGAACCACATCGACAATCATGCGATCTTGCGAACATGCATACAAGAAAGGCCGCACAGTCTCGAGATAGTCCGGGCTATGCAAGTTCAATACACCAGAAATAGGAGAGTAATAACGAAAATTAAAAAATAGATTTTATCTTTCTTTATAATTATATTGATGTTTCAATAGATTTAGTTAAGAAAATGTTAGATTTGCCTTATGAGTAAGAATCGTTTCAATTTTGAATTACGGATAAAACGTTATATTACCTTAATAATCAAGTGCGATGAAATACATTTAAAATTGTATAATGAATGCTTTCGAATTAGGTGATGGTTAGCAACGCAAGTTATAATGAAAAGAACAATCAGTTGAATTGGTGACTGATTGAGATTGTATTTTCTATCTATTATTGGCAGCCTGACATTCGAACCTAATAGCAATTTTAGTTGATTGAGAATTTGAGCTTCAAATTATGAAACGTTAGTTGATGTTGCTGCAAACTCACATCGGTCACTATAATGAGTAAAAGGCTTTTGCAAAGCTTTTCAACTTCTCGAACAACCGAAATTATATTCGCACGTCCATTGAGCCTTTGAATTGCGACCGAGCATTTTCAAAAGTATAGTTTTAACATTTACAAAATGAATTACAGTTGAAATTTACTTTTTCAGGTAGAAAATGGAATTCACAGCCAAAATAGTAGCACTGATGCCGCAAGACTAGGAAGAAACCTGATAAGTCGAGCAGGTACGAATATTTATCGAAGCGCCTATGCCAGCTCTGGATTAAACTACGGAACGAGAGCTAGAAGTAATGGCAATAGCTATTGTACGACAAAAACTGGAAATTACACCGGGAACAGAATTATTGATGCATACTGGGGTAGCTGGATTAAGTGGCTATTACCAATTTTTTTGTGAATGTATCTTCATAAGTTTTAAAATTAACAACAAAGAAATGTTAACGTATGAATATGCAGTCAGCCTTGATCGTGTTCATTTAATCAAAATTTTTGCAATTTTTCCTCCTTCCTCTTTATCTTATTCTTGATGTTATTCATAATATATTAAAGGAATTTACGTGTAGAAAGTTAATAAAATAATTAATAATGCTCTTACAAATATCTTGTTAAGTGCCATTTTTATCAACTTTTTTAGGCGTACGAAAATATTTAAAAAAGTTATTTTGTCTGTATATAAATAGCGAAAGGGCTTATAAGTGAAATCTTTAACAAAAAGAATTTTGAACTTGATGTAACAGTTGGAAAATTTATTGGGAAAAATTGCGTAGTAATACATGAAATTTCATAACTTTTTGTAAATCATAGTAGACGTATTCCCTTGATACTTACATTGCTAGTTTCCTTTGTTCACATTTACACAATTTTTCTTGCCATAAGTTAATATCAATGTGAGACTTACTAAAAAAAGATTAAAATTTTATAACAGCTTGAAAAATTTTTTCCTTAATTATCCTCCTACATGTTTATGTATTAATCCATATAATAAATTACAATAGATCTATTTGATAATGACAAATAGTCTAGAATCAATGTTATTGTAATTATAAAATTTTCTTCATTGTATTCATTGAATCACCTTGAGCTTTTTACGTTTATCAACTTGTTGCAAAATCAATTTAATAAGTATCCAAATCCTACTTGTTTATGACTAAATCATCGATTAAAAAACATTGGAAGTCTAGTTAAATTATTTATAGAATCTACGCATGTTTCAGGAAGAGATAGAGGAGCTAGAAAAATTCAAACTCTGAATTCTACAAAAATAAGTACTAAAGCAGGTAAATATAGCGATACAGTTTTTACAGGGGTATCGTATCCTTCAACAAAACAGTACCGGTACAGCTCATCTCCTCAAGTAATTGACAAATCTTCCACTATATCTTCGATTCCCATTAAAATACATTCTTCATTATCGTCTACCAAGTATTCTGTATACTCAAGTTAGTTGACTGATTGTTTATTTATTGAAAATATATTAGATCAGCAATAGAATATAATTATTAAGCATTTCATTTCAGATACACCTGGTAATAGTATCAGCCGAACCGATGACAATCATACTAACGTTTCGACGCAAAAAAATCTGGAAAATACGCCAAATACAGAGAGTTGCGGAAATTTTTTTGAACATGAAAACCTGGACTTGGGATCTACAGTTTCATATATCCAATCGAATGCTGATAGAAAATCAATAGACTTTTGCCACGAAAGTGAAAGCGATTCGACATTAGAAGGAAAATCATTCGACGTTGATAAAGTCTCAATCGAAAATAAAAATATTACGTTTCCTGCATCCACAGTACAAACTTATACGAACATTGAAAGCACGGAGTCTTTACCAAAGTCTTTTGAAGGGCAGCGAAACAAATATACAATTGACAAAAATAGTGAGTGTACGATTTCATTCGACGATAAATTGCCAAATTCAACTAGTAACAGCAATATTTTGACAAGCCAATCAAACAAATTAACACGTAGTCTCTCTCCAAAAATTTTTAAATATAATGGCCAAGAATGTACGAAGACATCGTTTTCAAATTTGAAAGAGGCCAGCAATTCATTATTATCAAACCAAGAACTCACGTTTACACAAAGCGAATTATCGAAAGCTCAGGCCCGATCACAAAATGTCGCGGAGAATGCGGACGTGCAGTCGGAGAAAAGCTCCGGCTCGTTTTTACATTTGCAGCGGAGCTTCGATGGAAGCTCAAATAATATCAATGGAAAACCGAACGATACGTCAAGGCACAAGTCGGCTGTTCCCGTGTCAAGTGGCTGCAACAATAGTGCTCGATCTAGCCGCAAGCTTGTGCCATCGTCAAGCTCGCTCTCGACTACAGAATTGACTGCGATAAAAATAAAATCAGCTGCCACCACTACCACCGTCGCCGCCACTGCCAGTAGCAGCAGCAGCAGCAGTAGCCGCGACAGTGGCAGTACCAGTAAAAGTAGCAGCAGTAGCAACAGCACCAGCAGCAGCAGCAGCAGCAGCAGCTGTAGTGGCAGTAGCAGTGGTAGTAACATTAGCAGCGATAGTAATAATAGTATTAGTAGCCAAAGCGCTAGCGATGTATCCAAATCGTCAAGTGGCAAACGCGAGATTATACCAGTTGTGTCGCCAGTGAGTTTAACTCAAACTGTATCGTCAGACGTGCGTAACAAAAAGCCACCGATTCCCAAATTCGAAATGATCAGGAAAAAAATGTCAAGCCCTATTAATAAGTACGTCAATAAAGATTTTCGTAAATCTGCGTTGAATATGGAAAATGGTGACGCCTCCAGATCTCAGATTCTCTCTCAAAAGAAATATCGTCAAAAATCCACGAAAAACCCATCGATCAGTTGCCAAGATTCACAAGCAAATAGCTCTAGTAGCACCACGACGCCTAGCAATCGCCAGTTCCCTGCAGGTTCCTCTTCACAGGTATTTTCTCATGCTTCATTCGTTTAGTTTTATTCACTAGTGAACATCGCATTGCCGGACAATTATAATGCTAATATTTTACAGTCGTTCAGTAGCGACGCCAGTGGTTCTAACAGCAGCAACGAAAACAAGGAAGAAAATCAGTCGAACTACGCAAACAAGTCGAGAATCTCGAAAAATAAGAACGAGTCGAGCGCGCTAATTACCGACGCGAAACAATTAGTTTCATCAGTGGATGAACGATCTATAAACGTAAATAGCTTAGCGAGGACGCGATCTACTTCAAAATCAACGAGTGATGCTTTCCACAATACCGACGAGAAATCGGTGCCGCTAATGCATAATCCATCAGCTACCGCCATTCTTTCGAATAGTAAAAGCTGCTGTACCGCGAGTTTCGTCGAAGGAAACAGCAGAGTGTCACTTCCGCAAAGTTCATCAAACGGTCCACAATGTACAAATTTAGACGACAGTTCGCCGGCAAATAAAAATTCTGGCCAAGCACGACATCAATTTTCAGATGAAGTACCTTGGTGGCTCGATCCCAATTCAGATAATGTACCAGAGGGCGTTGAACGCCACTTCAGCGTGGCCAGCGATGATACCATCCAGGATACTACTATTAGCAGTGTACTCCCAGACGATGGTACATTTACATATTTAACATTTATTTATATTTTCGCACATATAGACAAGAGTGTACGATTAACGTATATGATCGTGTAATAAAATGCACGCGGAACCGCTTTTCGGATATAGGTCATCTACCTTATTATTTACGCATACAATATACTGTTCTTTTCTTTGAATTCACACTTTTCTTTTCAATCTTGCCTACTGTCAAACTGATGTTGTGAACTCTCAATTGTTATTGTATCTGTTTGATTAATAAACGTATTTGTTTGATTATACAGGTAAATTTAAATTCCAAATTTGGCATCAGGGATCAGAAGAGCGCTGTTGGTGGGTCGATGACAACGACAATGATTGTACACTCAACAATAACCTTCTTTCTTTGAAAAATGAGACGGCATCCCCAGTCAGAGGAAGTTCTCCGCAGTCGCTTGATATTCAATCTGGAAATTCGGGTCAGAGTAAGCCTTCGAGCCCTGAAGTATATATGACCAAAAACCGCGCGTTAAGACATGAGAAATCGGGTGAAAGAGCCTGGTGGTTGAGCGACGATCCAAATAATATACCAGAAGGTGTCGATGTTATACCAGTGTCTCCAAACGTCAGTCAAAGTAGCCAATACAAAGAAAAAAGGAGCGATGAGCAAGAGTCCCAACAGACTCAAAATCGTTTCAATAGACTTCGACACATTGACTCTGGTGAACGGCCCTGGTGGCTTGACAGTTCTTCCAATGTTCCTGAGGGCGTCGAAAGAATAAGTTTATCTGATAGCCATTCTGACGATTCATCCGAGTCATTGCATCAAGTTGATTGTACTGGTATTCAACGAAACCAGCAGTGCCAAAGTACTGATGAAGTTGATAGAGGGTGTAGATGCTCGGCAACGTTCCCCCTTTCGAATGAAACATTTACCGATCGAACAAGTCTAGAAGGAGTAAAATTTTCTTCTCTGTCTTTCACAATTGCATTCAAAACAGTTTCAAACTAATGATACTTTAACTACATTTTTGCAGCGTGAGATTTCTGCAAACATATTTAGCGGGGGTCGGAGTTCACCGTACGATAATATCAAAGGCAACTTCTCTTCGAATGATCAGTCGAGCGAATTATTTGAGTATCAAAAACCAAATAATACATCTCTGTACATTGGAAACCAAACGAACATTGATGATTTACTTGAAGGTCTCGTCGAATTTGACCAAGCTTGTAGAGACATGGAAAAACAAAACGAACATTTCGCAGGTCAATGATCTCTTGATGCCTCGAAATACTTTGCTGTTAGTCTTACTAAATTTTAACTATCTGCTTTTAGAATACATTTCAGACAGAAACGAGACAATCTGCGAAGTTGGTCTTCACGGCAATAGAACAGACACTTATAAGAACTTGTACATACACAGGTAATGATATTCACAGACAAGCGATCATATTCTCGAAAAAAAAATACGGGTGATTAACAAAACGACAAGTAATATGCGAATCATTTATTTATCAAGCAATTGAAACAAGTGATGAACAATAACAAGTTTATGCTATTACAGGAATGCTGAGATACAACTGGCCCAAAACTATATGCCGGTAAAGTATTTATTATTTTCTTTTCGTGTGAGTACGACATAGCATTTGAATTTTCAAAACCTTAAATCACTGCAATATTTTTTTGAGTTTAAGACTCGTTTAAGTTGTTTCCATATATCTACTAGATAATTTACATTTTCAATTTTCATTTGGTCCAAAACGATTTTTCTGAAAATGAATTTAAAAATGAAAAACTTGAGTGTCATCATTTTTATTTATAACACTGGATGTTTCATATTTGCTTGTTTACAAGCCGATTCTCAGAGCCATTAATCAAAGACCTAAGTTTTTCATTTATTTCATTTAAATATCATCGGATAAGATAACGATTTCTTAATTATTATTCCACCGTATACAACTACATAAATAATTACACGCTAATACGGTTATTCAACCTGTTGTTGCAACAGCAATAATTACTCCTACTGCAAGATTACTGGCAATTTATGAAAAACTAAATAGCAAGCAATTCCTCATTACCGTGCAATTTTTAAGTATCAGTAAATAGGTAAACATTGCAATTATACAGTGTAACGATAATTTAGTTCAACGTTTCCGCATATTGCTTGATCACTTAAATAACAGTTGTTAAGCGCAAAAGTGATCCAAGTATGACAATGCCAAAGGAATATACATGATTGTTAAAATTGGAGACAGATATGTGAAAGAAACGTTCTTAGCTGGGTAGCCTGCAAAGGTAAAATATATATATGCTCGTGGGATTATAATTGGTAGCACTCAGTATTTAGCGCCATCTAGGGTACCGGTAACAGCCTACAAACTGCAGCGAAGTCACATTGCCGAGGGACCGACAGGTGTCAGCCGCTCTAGTACGTGCTTTCACCTTCTCTCTCTTTCGTTTCGCCCCCTACTCTAACAGTTTGTCTCGCTCTTTTCTCCCTCTCCCTCTTGCCTCTTTGTCACTCTCTCGCGTTCTCTCTTTCTCTCGCCGCGAGAGTATGTACGGCGAGAACCGAGTTGTCCCGCGAGTCGAATGGCAACGGCGAGCTCAAGCGATACTCAGTGCCGCGGCGGCCGCTCGACAGTTTGGTTATGAATGTTGCATGGTTTGACAGCATTTTCAACGGCTTTTTTATTGTTCCACAACTTTCAATAATTTATCCACGACATTTCCATCATCACTCAGATAATAAATAGTGAAATAGTAGCAGTGAATCAACTTAGTGATCAATATTAATTGATAGTTGTGACTCAACAATAAAGAACATGCATTTCTTGAGTGTTATCAGATTTAGCATATGATACAGCTGGCATTCGCTCGGCAGTGCCTTTGTTTCGTGCATGTGGCATATACATGGTTGTTTTTACCTGACAATACAAGCCCGTGCTCAGCGAGTGAAATGAGAAGAGCAAGAAGAAAAGCGTCGGGAGTGCATCCGTGAGAAGAGTCGGCTGAAAATGTATATTGTGCCTCTCGTCGTCTCGCGTTAGACTTGTGTGAATCTTGCTCCGGGAATGCATAAATAAAAACTTTATCAATTGTCTTTAGCAGCAATTGGTACAGGCTTACTATTAGCCTTGATTATTCAGTATAAAATTACCACAAACCCAGCGTTAGAGTCAAGAAAACGAGCCAAGTTACGATGGAATCGACGCAACTGTTTTGCTGTATACTTCTGTTGTTACATCGACTGGTGGGTGCTTCTCTTTTACTCCGGGCTCTTTCTCTTTCTTTGTCATGTTTCAGCGGTGCCTGCTTGCTTTTGAGCAAAACTGACTATCCTGCATTCGATATTTTTGAAATCTCATTGAGAATCAAGCTGCTTAATTTATAATTCGCGTATATTTTCTCTCTAATGATTACATTCATTGTGTCGCAGCTAGCCAAGTTTTATGTGAAAAGTTGTAATTTCTTATCTCTTGACGTCGCAGAGCGGACTCTTTTCTCCCCCTCTCTTTTTCTTCTCTATCTCTTACTCTCAGTTTCTGTCTCCGAAAATCATATTTGAATATTCATCAGTTGCTTGTCTTTCATCAATAACATTTGCATTTGCCTTCGTTGAGCTCTGATTGCCTTTAGCAAATAACTGAAGCAGGATGTCAACGTAAATAAGATTTTCGGCAGAGCATCATAATATTACAGAACGTTCACTCGGTAATATTAGATTTTACTGCAGAATCACCGACAACAGTAACAAAAAATGTTTGTGAATATTTTTTTCTTTTTTTTTAATCGAATATTTTTTTTTAACTTTTGTGTCAATTTGAGTATATAGTAACAATAATCTGAACTGTAAATAAATTCTGGACAAACGTTAAAACTCGTAGCACTTGAATGTTTATCTACACGAGATAGGTCAAGTAAAGCTGGCTTAATGTTAGAGTAGAATCGAAAAATCAGTCACTGCTTATTAAATTGCAATTACTTGATTTATTTAATGACAATTTATATTTTTAAATCTGAATTGAACCAAATTTATTCGATCTTGTTTAATCGGAATTATTCAATCATCTGTATGAGTAATAAGCAGACTTTCAAATAATAGTTGTTATTACAGACTTATAAATAACAAATTTTCTTTTACATCGAAAGAGAGAGAGAGAGAGAGAGAGAGAGAGAGAGAGAGAGAGAGAGAGAGAGAGAGAGAGAGAGAGAGAGAGAGAGAGAGAGGAAGGCGAAAGGGAGTAAGGGAAAGAAAGAGAGAGTCAACAACCGGTTTTCGGTGTAGTTCGACGCAAACACAGACAAGAAAAGATTTTGCTGTATATACTGTAGCCTTTTTGTCTGCACTTATAGTTTAGTCAGTAAAAGTCAATGCTGATTGGCCAAGCAAAATTTTGTACCTTATTAATTGCATCAATACAAAAAGTATGGCAAGATGTAGAGCAAATATGTGAATTAGAGAATTGCAGTGCAAAAACAGATTGTTCTTTGCTCAAAAGTTAACGAAGTAGTGGGCCTCGTTACAGCAACATCCCTGAGGAAGGGTACACCGGTGTCAATCTGGCGTGCGTACAAGTACCACTGCGTGTAGTCATCTCTCGTGCCCCGGGGGAGCTACAGTGCTGCAGCAGCCATCCCCCAATTTTCAACCTGACAAAGCACCTTACGCCGCCAAAATGTCTCTAACATGTAGAGTTCAATATCTTAACGATGTGGACCCATTCGCTTACGCAAGCTCATACCCGGAACCACCTAGACCACCATTACATACCTTCAGCGCGACCTTGCCTCTCATTAACCAACTTGCCGCGGTACATCGTTTGCTTCGAGCACCTCATCGAGTAAGTACACTTTTTTAGTGCTCCGCTCCGAACATCGGCATTTCAAAAACAAATATATCAATGACCAGTGACCGTAAAAACCGATATCATGGCATTGAGCTGTGATATTTTTTTTTATACTCACTCGTACTGTCATTTTACAAAAGTCAGGATCAGTAGGCATTTATGTTCTTGCTACTGTCAAAGACATAATATTTATTACTGTATCAAGAGACATGGTTATTATATGCGAAAACATTTAAGTCATTTGCTAAAATATTTGGTAAGCACTTATTAACATTTTTTATTACCTTTTACTATCTCTAAAAATCAGTCAGGTATTTCGACCATATCCAATGAAAAATTATGATTTTTTTTTTATTACCAAATACTTATATTTTTTTATGCTCTTACTTTTCGAACAAACGTAAGACAATTATGCAGTAACTGTTGCTTATTATTTCCTTCGATAGAAAATTCCGAAAAAGTAGTTCGCTAGAAATGTATTTCTATATTAAAATCAAATTACTTTTCAGGACAATAAAATATTTAGTGCGAACTATTTAAGACTCTAGGGTATTGTTTCACAAACTTCCGATAATCATAAGTTAGAAAGTATTATGCGGAAAAATGAAGGTTTTGGGGGAACGTGACAACAATATATTAATAGATAAAATAGCATAATAAAGAACCACGTAATAAAGCCTAAATAAAAACACAAATAAGAAATACTTTAGACTTTTGGAGTTGTGGGGTATACCGAGCTAGTTCAAGCGAAGCCACAATAAGTCAACCAAATTCGATCGATCTTTCTATTGCGCTCTTGTAACAGCGATGTGCTCATCGTTCGACGGTTCTATATTGAGTTAATCTCTTTCTAGATGTATAAAACTTCTGCACATGACTGCTATTTTTTTTTAATATCTATATAATACATTTTTTGTATGATTCTATGCGAAATATCGCAAAAATTTTATATTTGCACTCCATTTTTTCGGCAATTTTCTATCTATACATTCATAACTCCAACTTTTCCATAATTTTCAATTATATTATTAGTTTGTTTCAATATTCTCTAATTTAATTCAAGTCATTTTATGCACTACTCAATGTGAACATGCTTTTTTCAATTAAAAACCATCTTTGTCGTCAACGAATCATTTACATCGATAGACTTTGGATGAAGTTTTCTTAAATAATTTATATCTATCAAATTTACAATAGATTATATCATATTTTATATTATATTAATAAAAAAATGAATGAATAAGTTAAAAAAGTAAAATTAGTAATCGTGAAATTGAAAAAAAATGAAAAGCTGTAACTAAAATAATAATCGTTGACAAAAGAACAAATAAATAACAACAGTATTTTTTTTCATTAACGTGAATAATATGTGATTCACAATTGCTTATTATTTAAACATTTTAAGAGAATAGCATTGATGAAAATACAAGCATTTAGTTTTTAGTACTTCAAACTTTTGCTTGTATATGTGTATTTTCAATCTAACGGCAAGATAAAGTTACAAAATGTATTATTACAAAAATATTATTCATCACATATTAAAAAGTAAATATTAGTAATGTATATTGACGAGTTGTAATTAGTATGAAAATAACAAGTTCATCGTATTCTTAAGAACATTTTTTATTTCACGCGATTTTCCCATGTATTGCGAATAAAGTATATAGTCAACTCAGATCTGCACTCTGGTTTCTGTATGCCTAGAGTTCAGACAACTAAGCGTTGTCATTGCCCATACTGCCGTAGCTGACCCTGGTTCCATTCCTTGAAGCCCTCGTTCCTTTCTTTTCTCTATACTCCCCACTCCAGCGTGATCATGGTTGCATACACAGAAACATATACCTGCAAAGTCACGACAACTCTTGCGAGCATGAGTACAACATATAGACGTCTTACGCTGTACGTTAATTTACTTCTTTATTTTTTAATTTATACAAAGTACTTGTGGTATGAGTTATATTCAATAGTTCATCAATTTGTATTAAAGATCTTTCTCATTCTTTTTATGTTCCACTTGAAGCTTATAGAGTTCAATGCTTTTGTGCATATTTCGTACGTTAGTGCGTGTCAAACTAACTGATAAAATGAATGGGTATACATGGGTAGCGGATGTAGATAATATGCGATGACACAAAATCAATTATAAATATTTAAAAAATCTACTTTTATCGACGCCATTGCCTCGATTTAAAAAATTTATGACTTCATTCGCTGAAGAGTGTTCATTTTTGTTTTAAGACAAATTACTAATTGTTTTAAGGAAGTAGTTTATGAAAACTTAGCTAAATTATTTTATTTGACCTTTGATAAAGATTAATCATTTTTGTAATGTATATTAAAACACGGAGGCTGCTGTAATTCAATGTTCTTTTATTTAGCCTAATAAAGCCTATACTCTAATAGGACAGATTGAGAATATTCTTGTAAATTATTTTGTTCAAAATTAAACTACGTATGAATTGAAATTTCCGAAGTTTTTTCGAGATATTTGTCCATTCATTCTGAATCATAATTACAAATTTTAATACAAGAAAAATTATGTTCTTAAAAATTAGAGCAATATTTGTTCCAAAATAACCAGTCCTAAATAATACCAATTAAAGCGGGACATGATTTAGCCGAACGAACTTATAATTCAAACATTTGTTATACATAGCACAAATGTTGCATAATTTATTAAAAATGAATTCCATATAATTTAAAATTAACACTATTATAAATTCATTTACAGAAAAAAACGTTACCCACACAAATACCTACAAGTTGTATGGGCTTCAACGAAATATTTTGTTTTTGGGGTATCTCGACTTGCTAAAGCATGAAAGTTTTCAAAAAGTTGTAGATTTTCTTTTAAAAAAGCTTTTATTCTATTTTGAAAAAAATTACATTTATTTATTCCTATCGATTCAAATTTTATTTACCGGCAGGTTTGATCAGGTGTAGGAGAATGCAACGAAAACTAATCAACGTTGATACACAGTTCACGAATAATTATTTTTAGTTACTGAGTAATTAATTGTCTATTCTATAATATTTTCATCGTGAGTTTCAACTTTAAAATTATAAACAAACAGCCGATTATAAAAGAAAATTCTACGTGCATACGAATATTGAATATATTGATTTGTATTAAGTATCTCTTGATCATTTTTAATGGTTTTTAGGAATTTCCTAAAGCTATATTTTCGCGAAAATGACCAATTCTATTTTTATCCACGTTCTACTGGGTCACCGACAGCCTGTACTACTTTCTACTATATTTTTGGATATCCAGCCTAACACTTTATCTTTAGAAAACGTGGAGAATATTATATAAAAACTGTCGGAATTAGCATTTTAAGATGCTGCAGTTTTAATTTTTTGTTTTATGTTATTAAGTTACTAAAAGCAAATAAAAAAATTTATTTCTGAATTAAAGTTTAATATTGTTTCGTTTTATTACTATTACTAAAAAAACTCTGTCTACATTTCGTAATCACGTCACGTAGTTATAAATAATAAATATTTTTGTATACTTTATTCCAAATGCTTAAAAAGTAAACAAATTTAAAAAAGTTTCTTATACTCATTCTATTCATTTATTTATTAATAGCCTTGTTATAAAAACAAGATCTAGTTCAATCCAATATATATAATAATAAATATATGTTATCTATTTTTTAAGCAGCATTATTTTAGTTAAGCTTTGAACTGTTCCGGTTTAGCAAAAATAAAAGTTTTGTTCACGTTAATTTTCGGACGTTGTGTTCAAGTTATTTTTAATTATTATAAATGAAAAATGTAGTGTTTACATGAATTTATATGACATTAATATACTGATGTCAGTATTATAAAATGTGTGACTCTCGTCTGTGACTATTCTGACTGTTCAAAATTGCAATAATATTTTGAATAGCAAAACAATATGCAAGTTTTTTATAATAACCTTTAGTCTTAATTATCGCAAAAAATATTAGATTCGAGAAAGAAATTCATTTTTATAAATTAGGCTCTTCAATAAAATTGCAATGAAGTCTGTTAACTCGTGTTTTTGTTCAGTCTTAAAAATCAATGGTACTTTTGTATATCTTCGAACTTTTAATTCGGTTTCTTTCATCAAGTATACGGATAAATGTTTAACACTATTTATCGTGGTTTCAATAAAAACATACCAACGAAACATCATAAAGTGTTTACAATGTCTTAATTTTGTTCTCAATATAGCACGTTGAGGTTGTCTTGCAAATAGTTTACAGAATAAAGAAAAATTGTAATATGAACCTTGCCATAGATCTTGCCAGAATCTCTCATTCCCTTATCAATAATTTTGTTAAATAGTCTTACATGTTAATAATGAATGAAATCTGATATTTATTGCTCTTTATTAAAGCTTGACGACAGTGCTCTTCAGCTTTATAAGGATGGTGATTATGGTGCTTACCTAGATCTCGAAGCTTCTATTAGTGAACAACAAGAAGAGTTTGAAGGCTTTCAATCTAAGTAAGTATTCTAAATGTAACTTCAATATTTTTTTGTTGAAAATTTTTTTTGCTACTAAAATAAAAAATACAAGGTAAAAAATAAGAATTTTCCGGATAAACGGATATTTGTTGGACGCATCAAATATGGATAAGTAATGACATGAAATGAAATTCATCTCGGAATTTTGATACCCACAGAAGATTATAAAAGATAAATAATACAAGTATCTTTTTCTTGAAAGGTTACTGAAATCGTGACTCTGAATCGTATAAACTACTTATGTTCATAATTTTAAAAGGTATTTCTATATTAACTTAGGTTTATATGAGGTAAATTGAGACTGAGGTATGGTGCTTATTTCAATGAACTCCCACCAGTTGATCGTATACAGTCATATATGCTGAGAGCAAGCAAGGGAAGGTCTTGGCTTGCCAACCAGTCGATGCTTGAAAGTCACTCGCGCCGCTATAAACTTTTGAGAGGCAAAGTAATGTGTAAATCTTTTCGGGAACGGGTTTTCCAATTTAGCGGAAAAGGTTTTGCAAATTACGCGTTAAATGTATCCGGTAAAACTGTAATTTTGTTAATTTATCAAGTATCTATTAGTTTTGGTCATGTAGTGTATTTGTAGAGTTATGAAGAAATTAATAAGGAAGCAGTATGCCTCCTTACTGGTTGGTAACGTACTCTATGACTTCGTAATACATTTCGGCAAAAGCCATGTTTTTCTTTATATGACATGCACAATAACTAAAACGAGAGTAATATTCATCCGATAAAATTATATGGTATTTTCAAAATAGAAAATTTTTTTTATTTTACAAATACTATAACATAAATCGTTAATTTTTAATAATTTTTTACCGCTTTGCGAAATTTACTTGAAATATATAATCAGTGAGAAAAGGTTTAGTTGAAAGTACACAAATAACACATTCAAGTAGAATACTATCAAGGATGGGTAAAAACCATTTTATTGTCTACAATCAATAGCTGTGTTTATATTTGACTGTTTATAATTATTTTTCTTAGAGAAGTATGATATATTTTAATAACACTTTACAAATCATTATAAAATATATCTTTTAACTGAATCTTAACAGATAGTATAGCTTGTAGCTCATTTACAGTTTAGTAGTTTTAGTAGTTCTCTTGTCTCAGTCTGTTGGTCTCCCTCTCACTTTGCTTGACTTGATTGGTTCAGCTATGTACACAATTTTTTTCTTTTCCCACTTCTCTTCCTCTTTTTCTTTCGTCTTCCCTATCTGGCTGCCTTTTTTCTCCAATCCATTGTCCTCGTCGAGACGTAGATTCTCAGGCATGTCCTGCTCGCGCCTCGTGGGAAGGTTCACACATAGCCTCTGGCACAGTACTTGAACTTTACCGCTCACATACGCTTACCCAGATACATACTTGTGCTCTATATGCCTTCATACACATACGCATGTACATATATACACCTTCACAGCTGCTCAACCTATTCCTTCGCTATTAAACAATAACCAACGTATAATCTTTCTTTAATATTCCTTATAAGACCGAAATTTCAACTAGACTTTCTCGATGTAAGAGAAAACTAACAATAACTAAATCAATCGTAAACGAAAGATGTCTAAGTCACATCGTATTTGCAAGAAAATCTTATTATATCGTATTATAAAAACTACATCAATTTGGTGGAAAATAATTAAAAGTTACGTTGACCTAAACAAGATTAAATCATGAAAATTGTGTAATTGGAAAGATGATATTTACAAAAACATCGAAAGAATTTTTGAACGTTAAGAGCTAATCATTCAATAATCAGAATTCAAATATTTCGAAAATAAATTTAAAAACATTTTTTTTAATCTAAAAATGAAAAATGAACTTTGAAAAGATAATTATTTTAAAAAATACTAGAGATGCCGTAGAAATAGGAGAAAACAATTCAAACTAAATTTGAAAATAAAAATTGGATGTGTAGATACATTTTAATTTTATGTTTGCTTCTGTTGCAGTCGTAAAAATTCTATCGTTCTTAGGACTCAACTGTCGGTTCGAGTCCACACTATCATAGGTGAGTTGTAAACATTATTAGTTAATTTCAAAATACCGGATGAATTGAAACAATTTTACAAAAATGAAAAACTATTTATTTATGTCGGTAACTGTTTATATATTTCTAAATAAGGGCAAATGAAAAATAAATGAAAGTAGCTTGTCAAAATCCGTAAATTTTTTTTGAAATATGATTTTAAATATATTTTTTTCTTAGTTTTACGTTTTTTTTAAATTAAAATAAAGAAAAAAAACAAACTATTGGCAATTATTTAAAAGAAATGTGAAATGGAGAACTAAAACTTTCAAACTTTTGTAAATAAAAAGTTTTTTTGCTACAAAAATGTTCAATGTTTAAGGCTCTACACACACATGTAGATGAAAAAAAATTGATCCCTATATCTTCGATAGCTTTTGAAAAAAATTTTATTATTATTTTTTAAAAGTCAATAACATTTAATTTAATTAATGTTTTGATGGATAAAATTTGGACAAATGATGTACAATAATTGTGCTATGTTTGAAAAAATCCGTCACCTAGTATTAGTCACCAGACACCTCGAAACATCGATTATTTGTACTGAAAATATTAATTTGGTGTTTTGTCATAAGTGTATGTCAAGTTATCTAATAGCTGTATCATGATTAAAAAGTGTGATTAAAATTGCATAAAAAAAAATGTTCATCTGTGTGTTGCAGAAAAATTACTGAATAGCGAAGGTCGCGAACTACGTCGTGCTCTCTTTTCTCTTAAACAAATATTTCAGGTTGGTGTTTTTATTTCACCTTATTTCCTCTTCAAGCTAAACTTGCATAAGTTGATTTACGATAATTTATTTCTCATTCTTGATGTAATAGTGAAATGTTTGTTAATTTAATTATAGGAAGACAAAGATCTGGTGCACGAGTTCGTGCAAAACGATGGATTAGCTTGTCTCATAAAAGTTGGCAGTGAAGCTGATCAAAATTATCAAAATTATATATTACGTGGTAAGCTGATTGTTTACTTTTTATGCGGATCAAAACCTTGAATATGGTTAGATAGTTACAATAGTTACATCAGTAGTCATGATAATTCGGTCTCTCAAGTCCGAAAATACATCCGTTTGGAATTCAATAAATAAAGCTTTCAAAAGATAGTAATTCAACTGAATGTACTCTGTCACGAAAGGCGAGTATTACGTGATTGAAAAACCATAAATAAAATTTTAATTATAAGTCTAAAAAAGAAAATTCAAATAACTTAATGAAGTCTGTGTCAATTTTGTTAATAATAACTATTGTCGACATAATCAAACGAAATAGATCGTTTCAGTGATGAATATCCGTATCAAATTCTGTATTAATTAATATTACAGCTTTGGGCCAGGTGATGTTGTATGTGGATGGGATGAATGGTGTAATGGAGCACGGACAAACAGTGCAGTGGCTGTACAGCCTGATAGCCAGTCGCTTTCGGCTGGTGGTCAAAACCGCACTGAAGCTGCTGCTAGTATTCGTCGAATATGTAGAAAGCAATAGTTTACTGCTGGTGCGGGCGATTCGTTCGATCGACACATCGCGTGGCATGATACCCTGGACGAATGTCATGAAGCTTCTCAAAGACTACGATGCCGCAGACACTGAGTTGCTGATCTACACCATGAGTCTGGTCAACAAGTGTCTCAACGGCATACCCGACCAGGACACATACTACGACCAGGTTGACTGCCTCGAGGAGCAGGGTATCCAGATCATCATACAAAATTACATGGGCAAGCAAGGCACCGATCTTGATCTCCTTAGGCAATTTCACATCTATGAAGCAGTTTTGCATCACGAGGACAGTAACGAGCGTGACCTCTTCTCCGTAAACTCGCCTATCAGGACGCTAGATGACAACATTCGGTATGTCGTCAATTAACTACGCTACATTGTTGATTTTTATGATGAATTGATTGTTCGCTACATTTCTGAATTTTTTCAGAAAAACGCTGCGCAACCGAAAGTCTTTGGTCGAGTCACAGGAACGTCGAAAGTCCAGACGCCACTCAACGGGTACTTCGCCTCATGGTACGACCCAGCTTCTGCGGCATGGCATGTCGAATAACCGTCGCCAACTGGAGCATCGCAATTTGCTTAACAAGAGCGAGCATCACGCACGTGGCCTTGAGACCGGAGAAGAAGAAGAGGAGGAGGACGACGACGACGAAGACGAGGACGATGATGATGACGCCGAATCTAGCAGTTCGCAAAGCTCTCAGAGTCTCAATGCACCTCTCAACAATATGAATGGAAGTTACAGCGACAAGTCCTCCAGTGAGCCCGGCTTACATTACATTTTTCTGCAAAATTCTAATTGGACGCACTTTGTTGCTTACTCGTTATTGTTCGTTCTAGTGGACGTTGGTGTAACGCCAGCCCTGCGACGGCGCCGCGAACGTGCCGAGAGGCAAAGGAGTTTTATAAGAGAACAGCAAGAGGCCAGCGCGAATATGCGAGCTTCTTTTGGGCAGCCAGCCAGCGATCAAAGTCAGTCAGTCCTTGAGAGTCTACTTATTTGTCGTGATTTGAAAAATCAATGAGCCAGCTTCAATTTGACATTTCACTTTTATAGATCAGTCTAATAGGGTACGCTATACGAATGGCAGTTCGTCATATGAGCTCGTTACGAACGGCACCGGATCGGCCAATTTATACGAACCGAATAGGTCGACACGAGTCTCGAGCCGTAGGGACACGAAAATACCATCAAATACTGGCAATAAATTTGATTCCGAAATGAAGAATCAGCAGTCGCTACAGCAGCAAACCTGGTATGCTAAGAGTCCAGAGGAAAGTGCTCAGAGCACACAGGATAGTCACGCAGATGAAGATGAAGATCGCCGGGTAGTACTGCAGCTCAAGCGTGAAAACACTGTCAAAGATCTTACTCAAAAGCTTGCCGCTCAACACCTCATTTCGACGAATGTCAATCCTGCTGAAGAGAAAGTTTCGAGGTTTACCAGCTTTACCTTTAAATCAGGGATACTGACATGATAAGATCTTTGGATTAACGATGCAAACATTTCTATTTTTTGTATCCCTAGGATCGGTGATATGAGCGGCCTCATATCGAAAGCAAAAGAAGGCCTTGCCAAGTCCAAATCCAAAGCCGAGCTTGTTAAATCGCCGACCAGTGAGACAGCGCCAAAATTGCTAAGCAATTTGCCGGAAGTAAAAAAATCAGAAAACGAACTACACTGGGAGGAGCTAATCAAAAAGATGCAAAGACCTCTGTGCCTTTGCGATCTCGACTTTACCGATCTCAACTCGGACGACGAGATCGACGTTCTTGGCCCGGTCAACATCTCGAATGGAGCTCCTCCACCTCCTCCTCCTATGGCTCCGTCTTCTGGTTTGTTATCCGCATCGTTCGTACTTTACAATTGAGAATCTGGATGCAAAAAGCTACTTTAAATAGGGTGCTTTTTTCGTATCCAGGCACGCAATTGACGTCCTCTTTTTAGCCATGTTTCATAGTAATATATTATATTGTCGAGTAGCAAGTGGTCCTGTGTTGAATAGAGTACCACCACCACCGCCTCCGGGTGTCTATCGGTTTCCTCCTCCGCTACCTTCTCCGCCACCACCCCTTTTTGGAGTAAATCTCAAGTCAGCAGCCATGTCGACGCTTAGATCTCCGGCGGTGGACCCGCCGAAAGTTCCGACCGCCCCAGTTTACCAGCAGTCATCACCTCAACTCAACAGAAAGAGCAAAAAAACTGTGAAGCTATTTTGGAAAGAAGTTAGAGATGATCCAATAATTCTATCGCGACTTGATAAACATAAAATGATCTGGGACGAACTGTCTCCGGTGCCCATTGACACGCAAAAGCTCGAGCATCTTTTTGAAAGTAGAGCCAAAGATCTCATCACTAAGGTTACTTTACTTCACTTTTACTTTTATCCACAAGTTCACTTGATTATTAAAATATTGCATATCGACCAATTCAAATAAAACTTTACTTCGCCGCAATTCATCTAAAAATATATAATATTATACACGGGTTTTATTTGAACCTCTTTCTCAGAAAGCATTTAAAATTACTTAAGCACAGCGCGGATATCGACATTTAGTGAAGTCGTAAACGTTCTTTCACATATTATTGAAAATAGGTCTTATTTTGAACTTGTTTTCCATTAATGCAACTTTTTCAGATTAAATGATTTTCCTGTTCTTAACAATCAAACAATTGTTTACTTAGCACCACTTGCACAAATAACCTGTCAACCTCTCTTTAATGCACTAAGTATCAGCAAGATTGATTAAATTGAATTAATGTAAATAACACATTTATAAATGCCTCACTCTTAGATGCATAATCACTAATCATAAGCTCATCTCACAAATCCATTAGACCATTCAGTCGACGCCTCATATGTCCGTTAAATTCACGTATTAATAAAAATTCAAGCAACTTTATTGGTACATTACGAAAACGTTGTTTCAATTCACGATACTTGCGATACTTGATTTCAATTTTTCAATCGTAATTGCATTACTCATAAGAATTAAGTAGAATTTTAAGAAACGTTCAATTTTAGTACTTTATATGGGTCTTTTCATTTTGATACAACTATAGAATATTAAGCATAATTTCATTATAATAAAATAGAAAAAAGTCTTTGAAAAATTGCTACTAGTATAACTAAATTATTTCCATTTGATTTTAATCTGTATAGTAAACAGATGTAAATATTAAAATAGATATTCAATCTCAATGAAAAATCGCAAAATCGTAATTTGGACAAAAATTTGAAAGTTGTTAACGTCGTAACAAGCGGTGGTTGGCTGATGGTGATGGTTTACTGCAAATATTAACTAATCTTTTTCTTATATTCTTTGCAATATTGTCGGTGCTCTCATGCAAATGAACACTCAAAAATTGGCATGCTGGTGAAAAACTCTTACAGGAGGTGAGTTATCCAAGTTGATCACAATCAACTTCGCATCTGTTTCATACACATTCTTTTCCATATTTATAATCGTGCTTATGGTAACATATGTAAACCAATTGAAGAATATTTTTAATTTAAGAAGATTTCATAATTTTTCTTTGTGTTCTAAATCAATAAATTGTAATGGCAACGTTTAAACCATGACTACAAAAGATATAAAAGCGAACCTCTTGAGATATGAATATAAGAATAATTAAATTGTTACTAAAAATTATAGTCAATTAGTCTTTTTTTGTAAATCAATATTTTTTCACTATAAAAATGAACGTTGCTACTTTACATTGCCGTGATGGCGATGGAACTGTCAAAAAATATTGATGTACATAATTGGTGACAATAACAATAGTTTATAAGTTACTGTTAAAATTCACTTAGATCTGTTAAATTCAACGAAATTCTTTATTTTGAATCATATAGCTTGTGCAGTTTTTAAAATATGAAATTGTTTTACTATTCATTATAAACTGTTGTTTATTATACTGACAATTTGTTATTTTGTGATAAATGTTTGAAAATAATTACATGTAACCACTTAACTGCTAACATGGGATATCTATGCTTGCTTGATATGTTAGTAGTGTGTTTATCAGTGTTAATTTTAAACTTATAAACGATTGACTAACGATTATGGTTTAATCTTTATTATTCAGTAATCTTGGTCTCGATATGTAAAATTAAGTGATACGCGTTAAGTCATTATTGTCGATATCATTATAAATAAATTTGCGAAGAACTTTACGTTTTTTTCTGAAAGTAAACATGTGTATCGAATTTCATGTGAATGCATTTTATTGTATACAATTATTCTATTATTCTGCAGAAACAACAAGAAATGAATAAAAACAAGGAAATAATTGTATTGGATCATAAAAGATCGAACGCTATTAATATTGGTATGACGAAATTACCGCCTCCAAGATCAATAAAAACAGCGATATTGAAAATGGATGCAACTATTATGAATAGGGAAGGTATTGAGGTGGGTAATTTGTTTTCTGGCGGAATAAATATAAAAAGAATATAATTAAGTTTTAAAATATTTAATCTCTATTTTAATGACTCATTAATGGAATATGAGACAGAAATTGTTAACAATGCTACCAACCGAAGAGGAACGATCTCGAATACAAGAAGCGCAGGCCGCTAACCCTGATCTACCTTTGGGATCAGCCGAACAATTTCTTCTGACTTTAGCTTCCATTTCAGAACTCCCAGCTAGATTAAAACTTTGGGCTTTCAAGTTAGATTTTGAAAATTCGGAGAAGGTATGTACAAGCGAAGTAGTCGTTAACATGAATTGGAGTTGTTACGTTCAATTCGAGGGATTACATGATCTCACACCACTTAAAAATACATGTAAAGAATTTTCATAAATTTTTATTATAAGTAATGTTAAACCAATTCCAACATTATATCCAGTATTATGATTAGAATAGCAGTTTAAATTAAGTTAAAATAAAAAAAACTCGCATAGATAGATAAATTGGTCATATCGGTATTAACTAATAGACAATAAAAGAGAAGCAGCATAAAAAACGTGCTAAAACCAAATACTTGTAAATTAAGACGGTTACTAGATAATGAATCGTGTTGCAGGAAGTAGCAGATCCATTAATGGATTTGAAGCAAGGAATGGAAACATTGCGAGTGAACAAAACGTTTCGTGGTATTCTGAGCACACTCCTGTCGATTGGTATTTTCCTTAACGGCAATGAGGTCTGTATCCATTAACAATTACGGATTTAGCTTAAGATAATACGGACATAAAAAGCTGATTACTTGATATATCTTAGGTAAAAGGATTTCAAATGGAATATTTGGCAAAGGTGCCAGAGGTCAAAGACACGGTTCACAAACATTCGCTTCTGCACCATCTTTGTCATATGGTCATGGAAAAATTTCCTGGTTCTACTGATTTATATTCCGAGGTAGAAAGCTTTTGCACATGAATACATACTGTCTCATAAATCAACCAGATAACAATCTTAAATAATATTTTTTTATTATTCAGATTGGAGCAGTGACCAGAGCATCAAAAGTTGACTTTGACGAGCTTGCCATGAACATAAACAAGCTGGAAAGTGAGTGTAAAGCATCCTGGGATCATTTGAAGCTCATTGCAAAGCACGATGGCTCAACAATGATGAAAGTCAAGTAAGTGACGAAGTAATAACAGGTAATCGCTATTATTAATTAATGGTTCTTATATGTGCAGAATGTCAGACTTCTTGACGGATTGCGCGGAGCGTATAATTGTTTTGAGTATCGTACATCGACGTATTATTAATCGCTTTCATAAATTCATCCTCTGGCTTGGAATACCACTACATCGTGTTCAAGATACCAAACCAAATGAGTTTTGCCGAATTGTTTCCGAGTTCTCCCTTGAATACAGAACAACGAGAGAGCGCGTTCTGCAGCAACTTGAAAAGAAAGCTAATCACCGAGAGAGAAACAAAACACGAGGAAAAATGATAACAGAAGTCAGTTTAAGTGTATTTTTTCTATATATTTTTTTAATTACAAACTCAATAAATTTATAAAAATATAACTATAATCGTTTAGCCAATAAAAGCGACAAATATTATTTATTCGTTTAGTACTAATATACAAGTTCATCGTTCTATTTTAATATGCACAGTTTTCGCATTCGTCCTTCAATTTTTCACGTGTTCTTAAAGGTCGGCAAATTCCGGACAAAAGAGGATCGTGCTGATGCAGAATTGAGACAGCTGCTGGGAAGTGATATTTCGGACGTTGAGAGCATTCACGGAACTTTGCCTTGGAGGAGGCAGCGCAAAGACGGTAGTTTACTTGAAATCTTTGTCTGAATATACATAGCTACTTTATTTCAAAATAGAAAAGCCAAAAATAATGCGTTAAACAACCATTGCAGGACGAATGTCACTTGGCCCGCTTTTAAAAGACGAACGGGTCAATGGCAATCTAACGGATGGAGATGACGAACTACTTGAATCATTGGTCAAAACGGCGACCAAAACCCCGGCAACTCGTACTACACCGCGGGAGCGTAAACGTACTCGTCATGCTGATCGTAAGTCTTGTAAGTGAAATCCCTGCACCCTGCACCGTACTACTATTCTTTATTTGATACTTAGTGTTTTTAAATTAATTTTTCTTTTTTGTTCTCGTCTTTGCTCCATTCATTTTTCTTTTATTTTGATGATGCACACTATATAAATAAATATTTATTATTTATTTATTTTATATAAGTATTATATAAAAACGGACGGATATAAGAACTACGTTGAGTATTTTTAGTCAAACGATGTTTATATTAGCGGTTAATAATTCATTTCGATACAGAGCAAATTTTTATTTTTCCATGAGATACCGATGCAGCGAAAACGCTTTGATATATTTTAATTCTCTCTCAAGTCAAATTTCTAATTTCGATTTATGATCAGTCAATCTGATTATTATATAATCTAATACGATAAGGTGTTTGATACCTTCGAAAAGTAATTCAAATTTTCATTTTACACCCTTACTATTGCACTCTTTTTGCACAATAATTTGTCTTATTTTTTTCTTCTTCTTTCAAATCTTTTTTTATTGCTACAGTATCTATCCTTGAACCAAACATTGGAAGATATAAGTATGCTAGTCTGGCAATTATTGTTTTTTACATTTTAAATTAAAAAACAACGAGATGAATTTATATCTATAACAATTTATGGTTGCTTATCTAAAAATTGAAGTAATCTTAAAATCGTTAACTATTTCAAATCTAGGACGATTAAATTTCAATTCAAATTTAAATTTCAAGCTAAAAAACTAGATGTTTGATGAATTTCTTGGTACCTTATCTCCATATTCAATAGTAAAATTCGATATAGTTAATGAAATATTTTTTTTCGTATTAAAACCTTTTTCGTTGACAAACAACAAGTTTGGTAATATGTGAATGAGAAAAATTGTTAAATGTTAAAGAATTAACAGATTTCAAAATCGTGCGAATAGATAAAAAAAAGGTGAAGTTAAATTTACTTTATCATTTTAACAAAATGGAAGATGTTGAGAAAAAAAATATTCCCATTCCTTGTAGGAATTTTTTGTAAAAAAAGTGAGAAGGTTTCACACGAAAAAAGAATACCAATTTTTGTAAATTTTACTTGAAAAATTTTCTGTGGATATTTTATAGAGAAATAGGCATGTATTAATAAAATTTTGGTTAAGAAGAAAAGTCCAAAATCGGGAAAAAAGTTATGAATTTATATTAGTCAAATTTAGTACACCAAGAAGTATGGTGGAAAAATTGTCAATCCTCTTTGGTGATTGTAAATATAGGCCAACCTTTCACTGATACCCTCTTGAAAATACGAATCCATGGAATATTAGTTTAATGAGTTGTTTACGAAAATAGTAAATAGTATCCCATTCGGCGATAAAAGTAAAATCCAGTGCTGACTATGAAAATTCATTATTTTATATAAAATTTATGAATTTCACAATTATTTTTATAAAAAATAACATAGATGCTTTTTGTTTAAAGATTTTAAGAAGAATATTTAAGAAAAAAAATGTTATAATACTTGCATCTCTCGATAACTATTGGGTAGCTCTTATAATATAATTGTAAAAAATCTAAGTATAAACAATTTATTAAATAATGGATATGAAGAAATTCTAAATAATTGTGAATTCTTATACTGGTTATATTAACTTTACTACAAAGTGTAAGAAAATTACAAATTCAGAAATGATTTTAAAGTGTTACAACTTTATTTAGAAAGTTGCCTAAAAATGAAACGGTGTGGGGTGCGGCGTGATGGCATCGTAGCATGTGAATAAATATTACTAACTTTTTTATTATAATACAGTATAGATATTGAAGAAAAAGCAAATATTTTACCTTATCATAAAGATTTAACTAATATATTATTGAAGGTATAAATATTTTGCGTTTCCTTCCCAAGATCATTAGTGTTTCTATAGACTCGTATTTATTAAAATTGAAGTAAATCTCGCATTCTGAAACCATAATTTAACTATCAAAATAATAGTGAAGCGCTCGCGAACTAGAGAGAACAACACAACACCCGATGGGTATCGTCCTTGAGCTGGGCCTGATTCAATAATTGTCGCATTCTGAAAGGTTGGCTCAATCAACAAATTCATTCAGTTTTTAAATTTAATTTTCTTGTTTTCTTTGTTTCATCTTTTCATTTTTTATTTTTTGTCAATTGCAAGTTTAGATTTTTACACACGTAATAACATCTTGAAGAACTGATCGCTTCGACTAACAAAAGTGTTATACGGTAAAAACTTACGTAAACTAGTTTTATATAGCTTCTGATATTAAATCCCTACTGCTGTAATTATACAAAAAAAAACGCCGTTGAGATTTGAACATATTTTTAAATATTGAAACGTTATTCAAATCGAGCTCGACGATAGTATATCACAAAAAAACAAATATTAAATCGTGAGATATCTTTTTGCTAAAATCTAATGCCTTTTGTTGACTAATATAGATATTATTATCATAAAAATTATGCGATGAATTATTAATTAGTCTCTGAAGTAAGTAAAGCCACTTTGACTTGGCCCGCAACCTGAAAATGAAAGAGTTAGCTTGTTTTTATTTCAAATATTTAGCGAATCAAATCATTGATGCTTGCATCCCTTGACAAAAAGCATGCAAAATATTTGTTAGAATTTATGAATTTTTTTAATGAATTTTTGGTGGCACTACATGTCTATAAATTTTAACGTGATAATAATTTATAAAAATATGTTCGAAACGTACAAAAGTAAAAATATAACAATACCATTGTACCGTTTGGAATGTTTGCAATGTTTAATTTATTTTTATAAAGACTAATTATTTAGTTAGCAGCTTTCGTGATGGCCAATCAGTTTTTAGATTGTATCTTACGTGCATTGATGTGATTTATTTGAGTGTGTGCAGATAGCAGTGTAGAGAATCGGATAACATTGATACTCGTGTGTTACTTAGATGTTTGGCAAATAATACATATAGAACCAACGTTCTATTCTCAACGAATACTCAGATTGAATTCTGTTTTGCAGTGCGAAGAACTCTGAAAAATGGTCTCTCTGAAGAGGAAAAGAAGCACATTGCTGCTTATATTAAAGGCTATTAACTGTGATAAAAGTTGAATAGGAAAAATGAAGCATTAAAGCGAAGACTGCAAGTAAGTGATGGGACCGACTCAACATCATGCAGTAATACATGGTGATCCTGTCCGCTCCTGGCCTCAGCCCCGACATAGTAGGTAACAGCGATATCGCGATATCGTCGTCGATGCCAAATGAGGACACAAAGGAGCTCAATTTAGTTTTTAAATCCTCGCTATTTAATAGAGATATCCAATTTATCTCGTTTACCCTACTTGCGTACATCATTTTCCTTGTTATCATATTGCTCATCATCAATATTTTCACGATCGACTTTATTACATCTATTCATTCAAAGTCATTGATTTTCATCCCTTTCATTGTTATGTTGTTGATCAATCATTCACTTTATAAGTTACCGTTTCTTCGGAACTTTTTTGGTATTTATTGATACCTTATTTACTAAGTTCTGAAAAGATAAAAGAAATTGTATTCGATTTATCAAAGTTAGAAAGAACCGACTTGGTTTTTCACAATTAGTGCCGGTCAAGTAGTGTACACATAATGCACGAATGTAAGACTATAGTAATTATTTTCAAATATTCTATCGACTATCGAATATATGACAGTCATAGTCATTATTGTGTTACGTAATGAATTTCAATAAGCATTAAGAGTGAGCTATGAGTTGCGGCCCCTTAGCTCTGTTATTTATTTTGTCATAGCAATGTCGTATGTCAGTATTAAAAAAGTTATTGAACGAATTGGAAAGAGTCACTACAGTAATTTATTATCTGGGAACTATCGGTCCTATACAGAAACTCTACGTCGTTCAAGATATCTTATTTAAATTTGTGTACGGCTAATTTTTAAGATAGACTATCACATTTTCATTGTTTGTCGATGCTGAATCAGTGTTTTCAGCAATTAACGAGTAATAACTTGCTGTGAAATAATAGACAAATGATAAGTAGTCACTAATTCATTTACAAGTCTCCAATCAAGCGACTAAATTTATTTTATTGTAGTTACTATTGAAAAACCAAATAATCCTTTATGAATATTTCAAAATCCACTTAGAGCGATTCATGGAGATTATGTCATGCTGAGCTATTCTGAGCTATTGTATTGCGTATGTGATTCTTCTTTCTAAAATTCATAAGAAATGATATTTTGGAGCAACAAGATCTACAAAAATAAAATTAATATGAATAAAATGAAAATATATTGTGTTTAGCGAAGCCTATTTTGAAACTGTTATATGTACTAAATTATATCTCAATGAGTGTATATGTGCATCGAATTCGATGTAATGGAAACGTAAAGAGATATGTGATTATTAGATTGCTTGCTTTTAATGTATTGCAAGAGCATTAAAAATTTACAGAATATAAATTGAATAAATTTGTTTTATTATTAATATTAACAGATTATTAAATAATCATTCTGAGAATATAAATATCGTTCATAGTTTTATTATATTTAATATGTGAATGCGAAAGATACTTCGAAAATTCTTAAAAAATAATTAATAAAATATGAACTAAAGACTTTTTAAAATAAATTAATGTCGCAGTTGAAATAATGCATTTCAATGTAATTTACATTATGTAAATCATCATTATATTGGTATTTAACATTTAAACGGTGTGTGTATATTTATAGGGGGGAAGAGAGAGAGAGAGAGTACAATAATGTCAAGTTATTTCTCATGTAGTGAAGATTCAATTTAAATATTTTAAAGAACTTCATGAAAATATAATTTTATTTCTAGAATATTAAATTAATACATAATATTGAATCTACATTCAAAGCCATTTTTCTTTCGCTTCATATCTGAAAAAAACGTCAGCCATACACATTCACCCTAATTTCAGCAAATAATTAAACTCGTTCCGGCTGAACAGAGTTTGGACTAATTCATGGCATATAACAGAAACTTTTAGTTCTTCAGTCCAAACTAACACATTCATATTTTTTACATAATTCACACGCAATAAAATAAAAAAATTTTAATGACAAAATTTTCACTTTTGATTTCATTAATAAAAAAGTAAAATTGTAGAGAAGTATGTGCGTATGCAAGTTTGTTTTTGCCATATAATTATCAAAATGATGTGTAAACATTCCATTTACTTTGACTCCGAATATATATATAACGATAATTTGATAATAATTTCGTTATATAGTACTGTAGTTTTAAATATGAGAAAATACTTTGAAAAATAAATGAAATGCGCTGACCGCATTTACTTAAACCTTTAATTTCTTATTTCGAGTAAGAAATATTTATTAGTGCCAAAAATAAGTATGTTTGCCAAATTTGTTAGATGGGATTGAAAAGTAAGAAACACGTAGATATTATAGAAATGAAAACAAGTAATATTGAAAGTATCAAATTAAATTTATTTTACATATAAGTGATAATTATAATTCAAATGGAAACGATAGCATATAGTATATTTAATAATAATGAAGAGAGAAGTACATAATCGACCATGTGAGAGTATAAAAATAAAAAATTTTATAAAATAAAAACAACATTACTATAGAATATACGATAATAAAATTCTACTGAAATTTTTTTTAGCCAGTGGTTACCTTTTTCCTTCTAGATTAAAAAACTTTTTAAGAAGTAAGTAGGGCTTATGTAATAAAAATCAACGTTATCTTTGATAACAAAATGTGCTAGTGATGCACGGTTTATTAATAACCTCGTCCAACTTTAACAACGTATATACGATGTAATGAAAATTATTTATTCTATGGCGAGATTTGCAACAAAAGTAGACATCTAGTTCTTAATATTTTCTTTATTCTGAATTGCACTCGAGACATGTTAACTTATATATTTTTATAAAGTTTTCCAACAAAAATTCAAATTGTTTAAAAATTTTTCTTATAAAAAATATAACGTTGCAAATAGCGACCAATAAGTACTAACATAACTTAAAAATGTTCATACAATTTGTAATATATAATTGGCAAAAATTAGATCTATTTTATTTAACAAAAATTTTTTTCATTGCATTTAATGTATATATTTTTCTGTTTTTATTTTTTCATAATGAAAAATTGAGACCTTGATTGGTGTGCGTAAAAAATGTCTCAATCAGTATAGATGTATAGTTTGTTAGCTTATTTTACAAACCAGTCATTCAATGTGATATATATGATCTGGTAAAAAAATGTAGTCACTCTCCGTTACATTATATCTTTCATTTAAAAGCTGTACGTCACAGATGTTCCAACTGTGTTTTCAGAATGTCTATGTATATAAAAAAACATTCTAATAATTTTTTACATGGAATTTTATGTTATTCTTACGACAGTAGAAGTATATATGTATTTGTAGATGTGAAGATTATTCTCAATTCACTGTCTAGAATTTGATGAGAAAATGGAAAGGAACACCTCGGGATTTTGTATACATTTTTTCACCAAAAGTCATTAATTCGTTAGGCTAAATGCATTTCATTTCATGTACGGCTGTAAATAAAAAGGAATGAGTACCACGCTACACAATTTTACAAATATATTGCAAAGTCACACATCAGTCTCGTTGAAAAGACTGTAGAAATGTTCAATTGGCCAATATTGGGAACCGTAGAATTGACAAGTTACATAACTCAAATCATCGTTAAAGTTTAGATATATTCATCGTACGGTTTCTATACATTGAACAGAACGTCCAAAAATCTGACAACTTGAAGCGATATATACAGGTGATTATAAAAAAGGTACAAATGTGCAATATCAGATCTTTGGATGTTTTATATTTTAAACTTGTAAAGTTCAATTAAGCTGAGATACTGAAAAATGAAAATAAGTCTTTCAAAGTTGATCAGGAGATAATAAGACTCTGAAAAGTGATTAAAAAAACACTTTTGCTGGATAATCCGAAGAGCGTACTTGCAACTATCGACGGAATTAGATGTGGGAAGGTGAGTTTCATAAAAGTAATGAAGTTAAGATATGTTTTCAAGGACAAATAGTAAGTTCCTTTTCGACATAAGAGCGGAGTCAACAATGTTAAGACTACCAAAATGTTCCGATGCGTAAAGAAATTGATACACTAACATTTGGATGAGTCATAATTTAAAAGAACGAATATGCAATGCTTGTTGTGTACAAAAAACGCGTTATTCCGTAATAAGTTGCTCAGAGCTCGTCGTGCTTAGGGCCGCTGAACTCATCATGAGAAATGTAGCCATTCTTATCCTTGTCTTCGTGTTGGAATATTTCCTCGACAAGTTTATCCTGGTCGGCAATCATTTTTTTCATGTCTTCGCTTTCACCTGTACCAGTCTGTTCGGCTTCTAGCATCTGCTTCCTCAGATATACGCTTACCTGTATCATAAACATAAAGTCAACACACGCTTTGAACTCTCAGTTTTCTCTTATTCCTATTGGCTATTCATCATAACACCATTTTTAAATAATATCCAAATAATCTTTCACCGGCTAAGCGAATGAGATTCCAGATAAATTTATTTGTCGTTTAATCAGAAGTATCCACTTAATTTAACGACAGTTTCTGTAATTCAGTAATCCGATCAAGCCATTCTGTCGATTAATAATTCCAAACGATAAAGATTAGTTGTCAAAACATCATTTATCGAAACTGTCATTTTTTGTCAATCAATACTTTCGTCAATATTTCAACACAATTTTACATCAAATGAGAAATTACCAATACATTGTCGGCTTATGACATTACTGCCTTGTCATAGAAATGGTATATTTCGGGATTCAAGCATTCGCTGAATTCTGAATAATTGATTAAGATTTCGATCTCGCTTTGTCATGAATGTGCAATATTTCGATAATTCGCTTTACACGTACAATTATTTATTGATACGTACATGTCGTTCTTTTTTCCATTAATAATGCTCAGTGGGTTAGCGAATGCATTATGATAGTGATCGAGATAATTGAAATTTTGTCAGTAATTATACGGATTACCATGTTCATATTATCTACTTTGAATGATGTTACGAACATGCAAAACTACAAATTAAATTAATGCGCTGCTCGAAAGAGTTTCAAGTCAGTCAGAAAAATACTCAACAGAATTACGTGAAAGTTAAAATAAAAAAAATATTAAAGTAAGAATTTATATTGTTATATTGTAAAATTGTTAAGCCGACACCCATTGATCAAGATAATGGAATTTTGAGAAAAGAACGATTCTTGCCATTGATCTCACCTCCTCGCGGGACAGTTGATTGTCTTTGTCAGCATCGATTTCCTTAAATACGTTGGCAGATGGAGGTGAATCACTGATGTTGATAAGTTCAACTTCGAAGTGGAGAGTAGCCCCTGTAGCAAAGTTTCAAAAGTAGTCGGTAAATAACGCAGTGTACTTAATTAAAGATGAAACATTTGATGCAAACTACATATATCGCAAAGTCTGCCCAGTAAGTCATTTAAAACGAGTAATGGCAAAGGAGTTCATACCTCCGGGAATAACGTTGCCCGCTCCACGATCTCCATAGCCTAGTTCAGGTGGGATAACTAGCTTCCTTTTTTCGGATACGCACATGTCCACCAATCCTTGGTCCCATCCTTTGATCACTTGTCCAACGCCTAATTGAAAAGTGAAGGGCGAATCTCGATCAAAGCTGTAATAAAAAGTAGTTTTGTTCATTCCATCACTTTCCTCGTATATAAGTCGGTCGGACAGTTTGAAACTGTAAACTAGAAAACAAATAAATTCGAATGTCGATCATTCGATTACATCGACGTCCAACTTGATACTTTTTTAGGTATGCTATGTATCCGTGTTGCAATCAATATTCCGTGCAAATTCTAAGAATATTTCCCAATGTGACTAAAATTTAATATCGGACGATGGTATTTTCCAATGACAATAGAATAAAATACAATTATTTGAGTGAAATTTCATTGAATGCTCGTTTGCAGGTTGCAGTGCGAATTTAGTTTCAAGTAGATCTACTGCAAAAGTATTTTTTATTTAAATAAATGGATAATAAATTAGAGAAAATTTGATGGAAAACAACGCACAAATATACGATATTGAACTAGCGAAACTGCTAGCTATTTTCGCATGCAGGGGTATTTCAATAAACTGTTGTTTATTGAAATCTCCGTTATTAGCCCGCTCCAAAATAAATGCTATCCTCGGCATCCTGGCAATTGAAAGCCTCGCACAAAGAACAAATATTGGTCAGTGTCAGAGAGCAATTGAGAAGAGCGCAAGAGTAAAAGCAGTTGTGAAAATCATTACATCGGCCGTGGTATCAGAAGGAAGAAAATGTGCGAGCAAAAGAATTAGAGCCGCGAGAAAACAGCGACAACATCGACATCGACAACGAGAGCCAGAGAATCGGTGCTGAACTGACTGCACATGCGAACACCGGAGGCGAATGAAGAAGAATCGTAGTTGAAGGTGCCTCCGCGTAGGCGAACGTGCGCGGGCGTACGGCAACGTATGCATGACATACACACGCGCAACTTTGCGCTCGCAGGGTAACTCTAACGCGTACGATCTACCTGTACATGCCTCCACTATAAACATCCTCGCATTCCACAAACAGCTTCATTTCGATACTTTCTCAACATTCACAACTTTCGCTTTTATCTCTTATTTTATTTTTTCTCAGTCACCTGTAAAACTCAAATTTCAGTTTGATTTTAAAGGCAAAGCTCTTCAGTTCATATAGATATATATAACTTTCGATTCTGTTTGACTTTTCCTGTTCCTCTGCGATGCAAGTGAATTAAAACTATTGTTTTATCCAAAATCCATCTATCCCTTATGTTTATAGTTACTTGTTTTCTAAATAAAATCAACACTTTATACGAAAACGAAATTTCCAGTGATTATCCAATCATAAATTGAAAGAAGGTTCAAGGAAACGTTTGAGCTTCCATACTGCTTGAAAAGTAGCCCAAACTAATTTTCTTGGTCACGGATGAAAACTCGATTAGTATTATAGTGATTCAACAGTTTTTAAGTATTCTAGCCTGATATCGCGAAAAAGTCAGATGCAACAAAGTAAAAAAAAAACAGGTCTTCCAAAGGATGTTGACTAAATTAGACGAATGATTCAAGGCACGTTCAGGTGCTCGAGCTTTCAAATCTCTTCCTCGCCATGTATGTGTGTGTGTGTGTACGACACGGAATAGAATTGCAAGAGGTAGACGGTTGGCTAACGATTCTTAACGAATACATCCTGATTACAAGAAACCCTGTAGTCGCACGTCTCTTACGCTTTCTTGATTTGTAGAAAGAAAGTGACAGCAAGTTACGGATCTTATACGTACAATTTATATCTTAAGCGCGCCAATTGTTTTTATATTTTTCGCTTTCTTATTTTTAGCTTTATTGAATTTTGTCGCTCGAAAAATGAGTGTTACAAATGATCACTTAAAAAACAAGCGTTTGTGAAATCTTCTTTGAAGCAAGTTTGGCCCTGATTTGAGGATGATAAAATTAGGATCTGCCTAGTGAGATTACTCTGAAACTTTCTCGAGTCTTTTTTCAGAATAACTCTCACCTTTCCCATCAAAGTCAGAAAGTTGCAAAAGACATTCTCGAATGAAATTTCCTCATTACCGTTAAAACTAGATTGTCGAAATGAGATGAGCTGGTTATACGGAGTTGATGGCCAGCTCGATATGAGAGTTAGCTTAAAAACGAAATGCCACGTGTAGTTTTTAAACAATATGATGCCCAAGTAGGAGTTGATAAAAATAGCATAATCCTAAAAGTGAGGCGAGAGACTGATGAGAAAATGTATATAATTTAATTGGTATCGTGTAAAATCCAATAATGTCTGGCAATAATGGATGAGCCGAAATATGCGGAAACAATAGTAGGAGATAGGCGCAAAATTGATAAGGCTCATGGGACGGGACTAGCGATATTTGCTATCGAGTAATCTATCTAGTTACGCCTTAGTAATCTACCTAGCACGGAGTTTTCAATAACGATCCGATTGATTATTTGTTAAGACGCGTTACGTCGGTGTGCACTTGCAGCAGCCTCGAGCGCGAAGCGGCAGTGAGTTTCGGCAAACGACGAACGATGAGTTTTCGGACGAGTCGGCGAGCTGGCGAATGGGACAGAAATTGATCGGCGTGCAGTAAACAAGTTTGCTCTTTGGGACGAACGCGGCGTGCGGGCACGCACCGAGGCGCACACTTTCGATGGAGAAAGTTGCGTTGTCGGGGTCAAGTGGGGAAAGAGCGAGGATGTCGAAAGCGGGTCAGCGCCACTTTCGGCAACGAGGCTGGCGCACGAACGAAAGGCAACGACAAAGCACAGAGCGCCCGAGAAAACTGAGAAAGAGGGTCCGTCGTTGCCCCGTCAATCTCGCGAATGTTGCCCGGCTGGCTGGGCGTACTTTGAGCACGGCCGTAGGCCACTGTCCACATCGACGGGCTGCCCGGAGCGCAGCTGAGTATTGCGCGGCTTGCCTGCGCGCATTGTAATTCATCGGAGAAAACTTGCAGGCTGCGCGAAACTTTGCCAAGAATTTATCCTGCCTCGTTTGTCCTTCTATCTGAAGCTGAGCCGTAATAACGCTTGTCTACACTGACAATCGTTACTTTACTTGAAAAATCGCGTAAATCTCTCAACTTCCGAATGAGGACGAAGCCGAGGCGCGAGCACTCTCCTTCGCAGCGGCAGCACCTCGGACCGATCGGCGAAAGCTTGCCTCTTATATCGGCGACAAGGTGCAGCTGATCCACCACTGGTCGCGAGCAATGTTTATTCATCGAGAGAGCAAAGTTTGCCGGCTCGCGCTCGGATCGAGTTGTCGCGGAAGCTTCGTTTGTCCCGTCGCCGCGGCCAAAAGTGGCGCGCATTTCGAGCTGAGCCTTTGAGTGGTTCTGCCAACACCTCGACGGCAGGCAGGCAGCGCACGATAACAGCACAGAGGAAGGCTCGCAGGTAATTGCCTCGTTAATTAGTGGCTTGAGCTCGCCTCAGACTCCGCGGATTCTTTGCGTTGCTTCGCTTCGCTTTGCTCTGCGCTCGGCTTCGTAGGCTTGACAATTAAAACTCGACGGCGCTCGCCGCTGAATTCCAAGTTGCGGGATGAGCGTCCAGCCGGTTGTCAGGCTGCGCCTCGTCGCACTTGTTAGTCTGGCCGCTTTTAGTGCTAGTGCTTTCCGCAATTCAATTTGATCGCTAAGCATTCGCAGTTGCCGCGCGGCCCTCGCACGGCTGGCTGGATATACTCGCGAGTCGCGTTTATCACGGCACACCAATGAAAGCCTCGGAAAAGTGAAACATAGCGAAGCCGTCGGCCGAATGCGAATGCCGCGTGCGTTCGCTCGCAGCCAGCTACGTGCCAGTTGAAAAGACGAAACGAAAGCCGAAAGTGGACTGCCGATACGCGGTACGCACGCCAGTCGTTGGCTCTCGCGTCGATCAACTGGGATTCCGCGTGCGTCTCTGAATTATCAATCGCGGGCTCCGCGTGAGAAATGCTCCGGTTCGCATTGGCCCTGCACACGAGTGGCTCGCCGATCGTTGCCGCGGCCACGTGGCTTTGCGCCTTGGCCCACGCTCACCAATTGCCTCGGTAGACGCGCGCCGCAGGAGCGCAGCCTCGTCTCATCTCCGGTCCGCGACGCTGCGACGCTCGGCTAATTTACGTTTCGCGTGGCTTTTCATTGAGGGTCCTTGTGCGCGCAGCTAGCGGACACGTCGAACCGTGGATAAAGAAGGGCGAAACCAGGCAGAAGTCTGCGCCGGCTTCATCCCAGCGAAACCCGAAGCGCGCTCGCACGAGCCTCTCCTTTTCCCGCCAACGTGCCTTGCCTAAATGCTTTTTCTCGCTTTTCTCCCTCGTTTTCCGTGGCATCGCGCGGCCTGCGAACGTGCGAGTGACAAATACAGCTGTCATGACTGTCGCGTCGGACAAAAGGGCGCTGAAAGCAAACCGAGAATCCTCGGCGGCGTGGCAGCCCAGACCCGCCGGCATCAATCATTTCTGCGTTTGTTCCTTTGCCGGGCAGCGGGAAAGGAATACGACGAAACTGAACAAATTGCAAGTTGTCGTTGCAGCCCCGGCGCGACGAGCTGACTACAAATTGGCTCTTTGGCCTCGCCACCGCGGCTGCTAGACTGTACCTCGCGCGTTCTGTATAATGCACGAGTGCAGCGCGTTGTAATGGTAACGAGGCGAGCTGGTGCACGCGGTACTGCAGCTACTAATTGATGCTCTCGGATCGGTTTCGACAGTTTATGTATGACGCGAGAGAAGGACAACCGTACCTCCGGGAGTTTCCTCTGTGTTCTCGCGCATCAATGCACGTGTGTACCCATACACTCTATCTACCCATCTGTCATGTACAACATCGCGCTTTCCACCCCCGCCCTCGGACTACTCTTTTCGTTTGTTCGTGTTTGCCTTTTATTAATGCCGATTTAACGCTCCGTAACTCGCCGCCCAATTTTATTATATTTTCAGTTTAATTGCATGCTCGCGCACCAAATCATCCTTTCTCTCCCATGTTTTTATATGGCAAGCTTTCCAAATAAAAAACATTCTTTTTAATTCTAAAGCTCCATCAGCGAAACTTGCTCAATTATTATTTTCACAAATTCATAGTGGTAATCATATAGAAACAAGCTGATATTCATTCGTGTTAATCACTTGTTTATAAAATGCTTTTCTTCTACTTTTAAAGTGACACGAAAGAAGTTGAGCATCGGCAAAGGTGTGCGCGATCGACGGAGCTACAGACTTCTGGATTCAAATCGGATTCTTCGTTTTTCCACTCGATTTTAGTTTCGGAATACCGAACATGTGCCGGGAGCGGGGCCGAATGATCGTCACGTGGGGCGAATCCGATTAAATATAGTTTAAGCGAGGGGTCAAAAGGCTATATCGGTTAGACTACAGAGAAACTGTATTTTTAACGTCTGTAAATGCTTTCCATGCTATTCATCGGACGAATACGATGAGCGTCATTTACAAAGCTTGAGCAACGCTTTCTTAAACTGTGTAGTTTATTTCTTAACTGATAACTATAAAATATTATTTGAAAGAAATTTTGGCGCAGATCTAAATATAGTATACGTGTCCGTCAGATTGACAAGCCATGAAATGGACTCACTGAAGCAACGTGCTTTCTTGATAAGAATACAGTACTCTTTCATTAGTTATGCGAAAAAGTAAACATTTTTCCTGTACAAAATATTTTACATGAAAACTGCGATATCGATCCGGTAGCAGCTTCGATGAATAAAGCCATTCTCTATTTTTGCATCAACAGCTTACGATTGATTATTCTATTATAAGTTTATACATATGAACATGCTCGCTCTCGCTGGTGTTTTCAACAATGTACAGTTACAAAAGCGAGGCGTTACCGTTAGACGCGGCTGGATAAAAAGATATGCTTATTCGATAATCATTACTATCGCAACAAATACCGTTTCTAACAAAGTCATAAAACACGATTAAAATAAGCCGATAACTGCTGAAAGATGTTATTCCTCGTGTTTCCATGAATCTTTAAAAGGTAAATTGTCGAGAGGTGTCGCGCTATTCAGTTTAGATCTGCGATCGAGAATTAGAAGGCGATCTGGCAAAGAAGTAAAAGGCGAATCCGCCAACGAGATTTGCAGAGCCCGGGAGGAATAAAAGAGAAGAGAAACAGCTGCCATATGGAGCTAAGGTTTTACGGCGTCGTGGCATTTAATATGCGTGCCAGCCAGCCAGCCAGCGATCGCTCGGCTATGCTGTCACTTGCGCGCTCTTTGCCCGCCGCTATGAGCGTTACTGCGCCGACTGAGCACCATTGGGACGAACGGCTTTTCACGAGCAAGCCGTCGGAGCTTTCGATCGTCGCAGCGGCGCGCGTGGACGGAATAAATAGCACAGGCCACCGAGTGGCGGATCGGAAAAGCGCGGGCGGCAAGTTCAAAGACAGGCTGGCGCGACTGACCTTGAGTCGAACTTGGTGCCGTCCTGGAGCGTGCCGGTGTAGTGCATGGTCAGCTGGTCTCCCTTCTTGGACTTCTGCTCGCACACCTCCGGCACGTAGACCTGCTCGACCTTGAGCTCGGCCGCCAAGGCAACGAGGCAGCAGCAGCAGCAGCTCGCCAGCAGCAGCGCCAGCGTCGGCGCCAGTTCGCTCGTGGTCATGCTCGTCGCGTGGTGGTTCGGCGGGGCGCGCGGGCGAGGGGACAGCTGCTGCGGCGAGGTCGTGACTGCGACGGGGCCCGGCTCCGCGTGCACGTCGGGGACTGCCGGCGGACTGCTGCCAGCTACTGCCGCCTGGCGCTGCCAAGCGGCGAGCGGCAGCTGCAGGGTTGACGGCCGCGCCGCCGACGCGCGCGGCGGCTGCGCCACATTGCGCCGTCTCATTGGCCCCGCCGCCTCTCTCTGCTCTGCTCTCTCGCTCCCGCCGCCCGTATGTGGGTCTCCGCGTCTCGGCGAGCGCTGGCGCGCAGCTTCGACCGCCGACGTGGCCGACTGCGTGTGCCCATGCTACCTGCGCCTTTCTCGCGTCTCTCTCTCTCTCTCTCTCTCGGTCTTCCTGCACGCGCTCGCCACGCTCGCGCGCCGTGGCTTTTCGCGCTTCGCGCTCTTCCTTTCGAAGCCCGCGCAGCTGCCGCGGTAGTCCGGTACGCGATGCAGCCGCGTGCGCACGCAGGCTGCGTACGTGGCAGGCCTAACAATGCAGCCGCATCTCGCGCGCTCTCCGGCGGCGAATCCCATCGGACGGCGCTCTTGTCGCTGGCTTTCGGCTGGCCTTGCGATGCACGCGCGTCGGTCTTTGCTTGCCGCACGCTCGCCGACAAATCTTGGCAAGGCTCACTTCCGCTCATTTCGACACTGGTCGGACTGTACTTGGTTCTTCGACGTTGCTTTCATAAAGTCGCTCGGTTTCCCGCGCGACGTTACGTTTGTCGATGGCTACACGGCTTTTCTCGCGCGTGCCGTCATTGCTGATTAACAATGAGGATGTCTGCGCAGGGCAGCGTCGGCCAAAAATAGCAACGAAGACGCTTCGAAATGTCAAATATACATAAAAGAATAGCTGGCTGTCCGAGAGTCGTATTAGTCGAGACGGTTGTCGAGGGCTTCTAGGGCTCAAGAGCCGAGTAACAAACGAAGAAACCGTTGAGAAAGTAAGTTTGAACAAGCTGGTGAGAAGGAGGTTGAAAGAAAGGATAAAGGATGAAGGCAGCTTTGGAAGGCAAATGTGCAAGCGTGCCAGGTTGAAGCACAAAGTTAAAGCCCAGCAGCCAGAGGCAACGCACAAGTACGAGGTGCAGGTGGGCGCGAACGCGTGTACCCATGGATGCCGAGTGTTGCGCGCAGCGGAGCAAGTGCGAGTAATATGCATACATTTGCTCGGCCGAAACTTGTCCGGAACAGAGCGAGAGCGAGAGCTCGCAGCTGCTTCTTCTCGCTAACTCGCTAAGACAGATCGGCCATGCTTCGATCGTTCGACTGCGGAGCGCCCAGTGCCGTTCAAGCTTCACACCGGCGGTCGACCACACCTGCCGACGTGCGACCCGCGACGCGTGACTGTCGCAGAGTATGCTCACAATGCCCAGGAAACGCGGAGTGCCGCGAGGAAAGTTTGTTGGCGATGCGGAATACAGAAAGGCGCGGCCAGCAGGCGAGATAAGCACGCAAGAGGCACGAATTTGCGCTCTTGCCGAGTTTTCAAACTCACGGGAACCACTTCCGTGGCTTCAACGAGTCGGCATGGCCGAGCTTATGAGCAGTGCGACGCCGGCTTGTGAAAGCTAACTCGACGAAATAGCGCGCGGGCAGATTTGACTGGAAGCTCAGGTGGGCGGAGGGGGGCTGGCGTGACACAGCAAGCCGGATAAAACCAGTGGAAAATCGATTTGGATCGCCAATATTGACACTTAATTTTGCGCCTGTGCCGACCGGCGAGATACGCTTCCGGAAGCCTTATGTGCACAGCTTGCGGACTCGATTCGGATTCGCTTCGCTGGCGAGCCGGGAAAATGCGCGACGACGCCAGCCGTGGGACAATGGAATCAGCCGTCGGCCGCGAGCATAGCAGTCGAGAAAGTTCATTTGCACGCGACGACTTTCACCGCGCGCGACTGCTTAGCTCCACGGCGGAGCCCGAGGCGACTGAGCCTATCAGTAGCGGGCAGATGAGTTTTCAACGAGGGCTGATCTGCGCTCGCAGCGGCGCCTTGGTCGAAACTTGGGCTTTGGACCGGCACCTGGCTGTCGACTCCCCCCCCCCCCCCCCCCCCGACGGAGTCGCGGATCCGCGAGCAGCGAGCGGCGAAAGTGCCACGAGCGCCGCGCGACTCTCCGCTTCCGGATGCCGAGCCGGCTTCTGCATAGCAATATCGTCGGGGCAATGGCAGCCGCTACTCGCTGTACATTCGCGCTGCGGCTCGAATCGTCGCAGTCGTCGCTCTGGCCTCTTCTGACCTTCGCCGGGCCTGCGCTCGGTCGACCGAGGATAGCGACCTGCTCGGGGCGAAGAGCGGCGTAATCATTCGGTCGGCGCGAGAGATGGCCCAATCGGCGACTGTAGAGATGTAGCGCGCTAGATGTAGCCAGATGAAAACATAAATAGCGCGTCGGCAGTGGCACTGTCGCAACGACGCAACGACGCAACGGCGCAACGGCGCAACGGCGCAACGGCCCAACGTGCACCAAATACTAGATCAATACACGTAAATTCGCGCGCAAGCCCGAATGCTCGCCCTGCTCGCCATCGGTACAGTCTTTCGTTATCTTTCGATGCCCGTCACTCCGCCCAATATCGTCCGTCGACGTCAAGTCCATCAGTCTCGCCGATTTTTCACGTGTTGCCAGTGGCTGTCGCGTCTGCCAATGACTTTCTAAGCGAATCAGTCGACACGGGCACTTTCGACTTGGATTCGCAGCCGTTCAGCATTCGGACGACCTGCAAATGGAAGCGGAAGTGAGACGAGATAGAGCGGAGATAGTTGCACTCTTGCTTTCGACGTCGCCGCAGCAGCGATACAGTTGCAGAATACTCAAGCTGCTCTGCGAGGCAATTGATGAAGGCGGACGACGTTGCCCCGTAGAAAAGTGGCCGATCAGCCGATGGCGATGAGGAGTGTAGGAGAACACGCACGGTTTAGCTAAGCAGCGCGAGGAGACGCCGAATGTTAGGAAAACAGCGCACGCAGGAATGCAGCAGCAGTGCAGCTCGGTTCGCTACTGGACCGAGGGCAGCTTGTGCCTGCGCTTGGTGCTCGGCTGTTACAGCAATGACGTATGCAGCACGGGATCCCCGTTATTCACTGCAAGCTGGAGTATTTAATGCTAGGAATGTGGATGGGATTCGTCGCGGAATTTCTCACCGAGGCAAAAATTGAATTTCCGTGGCTTCTATATGCGAGAGCGGAGCATCGGCTAAAAATATTGATGGACTGCTGTTGCGCAACCAACTGGTCTCGGCGGACGCATGAGTCCGCCCTCTCAAAGTGCTCGGCACGTTTCCTAAATCAGAATGTAGAACTTGCTCCGAGCAAAGTCCAATACGCTTAAGGTTCGCCAAGATTGACAAAAGCCTCCAGGGGGCCGAGCCTGGCAACAGTCGACCAGCTCCAGGAATCGCTCCACAATTGCCTGCTAATCTCAACAATGATCCGCTAATAAAGTCGTATAACAGTTGCCATCACACTAATCAATCGACATCCGAACGTTAGATTTTCCCTCTAGCGGAATTTCTTCGTTAATTCACTTCGATTATGTCCTTCAAAGTTGCTGAAGATCTTTTCTTTGTGTACCACTTTCATTTCTGCAAGTGATTAACGATTTGAATGTGCGTTAAATAAGAGTAGATGGAAGATTAAAACTAAATGGAATTCGTTGAATAACGAAAATAGCCGGTTTATTGAAAATTACGTTGTGCAGCAGCGCGATTCAGTAAGTTATACGTGGAACTATTAGCTTTCGAGTACGCAGCCCAATTATTGTCCGAAAATAATAGCCTCCGCGAATGTACGAAATTGGGTTTCGCGACTAGTCGGTCAAGAGAGAAATTTCGGCGGGCTCTTTACGCAGATATCCCGAATGACATCCGGTTTTCGAAAATGTGGACACTTACCTGTTGCTACTGCGTCACTGTCTTCTCATTCGTCAAAAGATTGACAAATATTCAACATTTATCAGCATTTTTTCACGTCAACGTAAAATTGTAACAACAGAAATGCGAAAATAATAACGAGAATAAGAACAATAATAGCACGCATATGAAAAAATATTACAGGTGAATAAGGAATGAATTTCAAAAAGTTGAATATGTAAGCATCTGCACTTGACAGTCTCAAATGAGCCATTGTGAGGGAAGTCCTCAGAATAATAAGTAACATTTCACCGTTATATTATTGTGCGCAAGAACACATCGTAAATAAAGCACTCGTAAACTTGCTTGTAGAACCTATATGTGTCTGGAACGGAATGCTATACGCCTGTTCGAAAGAACAAATCAGTGGCATTATCAATTTTGCTTTGAAATTACGAAAAAAAGCAAGCGGCAGAAATTTTACGGCTTCAGGTCCAAAGGGGCAGTCGGCGTTTCTCGCAACCAAGCACTGACAGTTTTCATGATTTCGTAAGAATACGACAAGATATCTTTTACGAATATCTTTAGTAAAAAATATTTTCCTAGAAATAAACCGTAATTATTTATTAATTTACAATTATTGCTTCCTCCCTTCATCTTGCTCTTTTCGGTTTAACCGTTGATAAATTATCCCGAAGAATCCGTTCCGCGTATGTTTTATTGCCCTTCCAAGCCATCGTCTTCTCTGATCTGCGGCTCTTGTTCTCACAACTCGCATACATTTTTCGATTACGGTTTTAGTGTAATACAATATATTCTTGCGTGCTGTACTCTTAAAACGTTATTGCAGTATCACTGTCTCATTTCAAATGGTACTATATTGTCAGGTTTTATATAGGTTTTTATTTTTTGATTTCGCTTGAATATTAAATTGTCACTATACTCATAAAAAAGCTTTTCCTTGCGTTGAAAATGCGGTCCTACTGTAGTCCGCTCTGAAATATCAAAATAAATTTGTTTGTATCTACGAAGCTGCAATACTTGTAGTTGATAGTAAAAAAACAGTTTTCATGGGAAATAAGTGAAATTGCGAAACGTTGAAACGATGCTGAACAGTCGTTAGCATTATGTTTTATCAATGTTGTTTGCATGACTTTGCAATCTAGAGAAGAAAACTCGCTCAACGGAAGGCGTGGCTAGTTGT